TGATATGGTCAGCAGTGTGAAAGTCAAGGACTTTGAAGATATACTGAGAGACTAAATAAATGAACTGATAGAAAATGGTAGTAAACCAAATGCAGAAAAACTGCTAGAGTTGATCAGTACCCAAAAGAGATGCAAAAGAGTTGAGGGAATTTTCTTGTCATAGACAGGAGCCTTATTTTGAAACTTGGTCTCAAACAGCTAATGATATTATATAGTCATCCCTGTAATGCAATGGAGGGTAACACAAGCTTGACACATTACAGAATACCTAGCCACTACAAGACAACCATCTTCTACTGACAAATCTCAATCAACATCTACAAAAAACCAGAACCATCCATGCCAGTCTAATAAACCAACAACAATGCATTTCCTCTGCCTTTCCTTTACTATTTAAATCATACAAGCGAGGTCTGCCTGACTGTGAATTAAGTTGCACTGTATTACTTACTGTTTAAGAGAAAAATAAATACTGAGGCATTAACTCTGAGATATTTGGAACATAATACTACTTTTCCTATATGCTATTAATTTTGTGTAATTTGCTTCATAAGAACATAACAAGAACATAAGAAAGGAGGAACACTGCAGCAGGCCTGTTGGCCCATACTAGGCAGGTCCTTTACAATCCATCCCGCTAACAAAACATTTGCCCAACCCAATTTTCAATGCTACCCAAGAAATAAGGTCTGATAACTCTATCCACTAATATATGCAAGTCCCGTTCAAATCCAACCCCTCTCGCTCATGTATTTATCCAACCTAAATTTGAAACTACCCAAGGTTTTAGCCTCAATAACCTAACTAGATAGACTGTTCCACTCATCAACTACTCTATTTCTAAGCCAATACTTTCCTATATCCTTTCTAAATCTAAACTTGTCCAATTTGAATCCATTATTGCGGGTTCTCTCTTGGAGAGATATCCTCAAAACCTTATTTATATCCCCTTTGTTAATACCCATCTTCCACTTGTACACTTCTATCATGTCTCCCCTCATTCTTCGTCTTACAAGTGAATGTAGTTTAAGAGTCTTCAACTGTATTTATCCAACTATCTGCCATAAAGCAAAATATTTAGACAATTATCTACACTTCTTTTGGTCAAAACTGTGACCAACTTAAGAGGAGTGTAATCTTAGGTGTGCTCCAATGTGAACTGAGACTGTTGTCCAGAGCATTTTAGAAAATGAATATATCACTGCACCATTCAAAAGACTGTTATCCGGAGCGGTTAATATAATAAAGGTCAAGCCAGTTATTACGCAGCCAATAAGAAAAATGATTGCAAAACACAAGGCATAGACAAGAATGTGAAAAATGTAAATCCTACTTGCAACACAACTGTTCCTCATTATCGTAAAAACAGTAATTATGTAACCTGTGGTTTTAAAAAAATAAGAAATGAAAATCCCTTGATGTACAAGCTCCACAAAAAAAATCTTTGGTGTGCAACAGAAAAAAAATAGTTTGTTGCCAATCATGTACGAAATGGAAAGGAGTAAAAATGTAGTGAAAGCAAAAGGTCAAATAATCAGATACTGATGTTTTGTATTTTCTAAATTCCCTAATAAAGATCCTTAAACTATTTGTGTGTTTTATTCATCCATTTAAAAAAAAATTGTAGAGATAGTACTCACTGTATACGAAATTATGTATAAAGACCGTAACCAATTATACAGAGGGCAAATAGGTAGAAATCACTGGAGTATCTGAACACAGAGATTTGTTAGATATGCATAAGACAATTCTGCAGTTTCACCAGCATGTTAAGAATCATAACCATATTAACAAGGAAGCTGTGCTTCCATTATATATATATATATAGAAGAAATTGCACATACAGGTGCAAAATCCTCAAGTTGGCTATGACTGAACCATGACTACATTTCAACATAGCATAAGTCAGTGGAAACCTGATGCCATCACTACCCTTGCTGTGATATTACCTGTTCCTACCTCAAACTCAGGTCATTTGACCTGCATTTATAAAATTCTTCTCATATATATCCTTTTAATTTGTTTAAGAGGGTTTCAAAATAAGGTGAAAATGTACAGCACTCATATTTTCTGGTCAGTGATAAATCTTTTGGTTAAATAAGAACCAATGAGGCCTACATTTTAAATTGTTTATTAGGGACAGAAAACTAAAGAGTGATATTCTTCTCTTCATAATATCATATAATTATTTCCAGAGCATATATATGAATACAGTTCTTGTGCTTATAGCTTTCCACTCCCTAGTTGCTTATTAATACGACTTTCTCCTATGTACATGGCCTATTTATACAATGTGTACAAGTGATCTTCTTTATACAGTTTACTTAAGAATTACTTGAGCTCTTATTAAATTACCCAACTCATAATTCTAACATGTATGGTATATGCAGATTAAACAATAATGGGTATGAATTTGGCTCTAAATCATTAACTTACTAAAGATGACATTTCTCACATGGAAACTTTCACTAGAGAAATGAGCACTGTTGTAAATGGCCAGTCACCAGGTCAAGATAAGATATTCACATCTTACTTTAAAGAAATTAGATTTATGAACATTTATATCCTGAATGCCCATGATGGCATATTTGCATCATATGTGCAATATACAAAGAAATCTTTTGTGTAAATGTGTGTGCAAATGTACATAAATGATAAAATCTGAGTGATAGATAAAGTACACGGTGCTCTCTCCTCTGACACACCAGACCCATATCAACCATTAAATGCTCACCTTCTCTTATCACAAAACATTGTTCAGAGTTTCTAGTTAAGAGACAAAGTATGAGAAATAATTACCTAATTATTCTATGCAAGTTTAAAAAAGTACCCTAACATAAAAGAAAATTTAATCCGAATGATATTCGGTTCGACATCTTGGACGTTTTCTTTGAAAACAAAATAGCTGTATACATTATCACAATTCGTAGTTACAAAAGGTTACATTGGAGACTCTTGTCTTCACTGTTAACCAATATTAATACTCTCCCTCTGCATAACTATTACCCAATTTAATTAGATAAAGATATACATGTGCAATATAATCATCAGTTATATTTTCTCTTTCAATTTTTTTGAAAAAAAAAAAAAAAAAAAAAAAAAAAAAAAAAAAAAAAAGTCTTAAAATAATCATTGTAAAAGCAAAGAATATTTCACTCCAAGAAATATTGGCAACCAAGTTCTGTCTGAGTATTAAAGCATTAGTTGTGAACCAGTTGTAAGTGTTGCAGGGGATGCATCACTCCAACACCTTCGTCAACCAGAAAAATGATGTCCTGAGATATCATGTTGTCTCTGAACCATGACCAACACTCTAAACAATACCTATTATCTGAAAACATCTTGCATCCTTAGAAGCCAACTTTGATAATAGTTATTTAGTTACATTTAGATTACATGAGTACGTACAATATGTCAGTTTATTAAGTTTAAACTGCATCCAAAATTTCTGAATTAAAGCCATATTAGTGGTAAATCCATTGACTACAACAATTTGTACACAAAACAAAATGGAGGCCAAATTTTCTGTAGAGCAACAGGTGTTCTATCCTTAAAAATCAGTATTCTTCACTAAAGCAAAGGTCATAGGCTCCCTGGTTATACCAAAAAATCAAATATGTTACCTTTACTTTAGCTTACTTTAAACCTTCAGGATAACAAGGCTATTCTTTGCAATTACAATGATTCGATCCCTCAAAGGATATCTCTGTGCCAGATCCAGCTCCGGTTGGTGTGGTCAAAAGAATGTGACAGCCACTGTTGTTCCAGTAGGCGGTAGCGGTCTTCACTCAGGTACAGAGGTTTCCCACGTCTGTAAATATCAGTGTGCAAACATTGACCATGACAGATCATTTTAGAAATTAAAAAACTAAGAGTAGCAAATACTATACTCTTACACTGGATAAGAACTCCATGATAATATATATTAACTGTAATCAATGATAAAAGGTAATTTTTTATAGGGTAATTACTAGAAGGTTTTGGACACTACAAAAATATAGAAAAAATAAAGGTTATAATATTAAAAAGACAAGAGTTTTCTAATGAGTGAAAACATGCAATAATACCTTCTTTAAAATATTTTTCTAGCTTTCAGATTTCCTAGATTACTTACTGGAGTTGGAAAAATTGACACAAATGCAATAATTTGCCATCCTTCGTTGACAACTTTTCACCCACATAATGGGCTTTATAAAATCATAAACACATCTTTACTGCATTTGTATATTTTTCCATCATGTCAGTATTTTATACCATTTATCTCCACTTACTTGAGTTCACGATCTTCTTCTCCAAAAGAGTCTAGGTGAATACAGCCCCAGAGGCAGACTCGTGGACCACGAATCACAATCACCGTTGAAGCATTCACAACAAGAAAAATGGCCGTACCAGCGCCACAGTCAATAGCATGCTGCACACACTCGCACACCTCCTGCTGCTTACAACATGGCTCTCTCAAACACACTATAGTGCCACAAAGCAAGCAAACACTTGGATTCTTCGGCACACCATTGCACTGCGAACACTGTCGTCTGTGGTAGTACTGCAAGAGAATGTACAGTGTTGGAAGTACAGCCATTCATGCAGAATCAATATCAGGGTAAAACGAATTCCTTTTATTTACTTATCAAACAATATATGAAACCCGGGTTTAATGTAGCTCTGTCCTCTACTTATCATACCAATGTATAAAGTACAAGTAAGAGGAAGATAATGAAGCAAGATGAAGAGGAAGGAAGGGGGGAGGGGGGGGAGTGATGACGATGATGAGATGGAGGACGAGGCAAAAAAGGAGGGAATATGCAAGAGAAGGAGCAAGATATCTTTATTGAAAAGCAACTCATTATGAAAAAAATTCTTAGAAGAGAAAGGAGGAGGAGGAGGAGGAGGAGGAGGAGGAGGAGGAGGAGGAGGAGGAGGAGGAGGAGGAGGAGGAAGAGGAGGAGGAGGAGGAGGAGGAGGAGGAAGAGGAGGAGGAGGAGGATGAGAAGGAAGATGTAATGGTGGTGGTGGTGAATGGAAGGCGAAGATAAAGGAAGATGTGAAAGGAGGAGGGAGTTAGTGAAAGGTAAAAGGAGGAAGCCCTGGCTAAATGGTAACAAAATTAAGAGATCCTTCAAACACACACACACACTTGAATTACAAAAAAGTAACTTACCTGAAAAACTGCATCGTAAGAATGTGGTAAACGTAAGAGACGGGGCTGAGAGAAATGAACAGTAGTAAGAAGGGTTGAGGCAGCCACCTGTGCCTGCGAGGCAAACGTAGCAACTTCACTACACCACACTCTTGCACCACCTGCTAGGTTACCCAGACGAGTTTCAACTGGACTTGATACTTCACTTGCATGGTATGTACCACACATGTTACCTGTAACACCATCAACAATAACATTAAGGCAACTCCATATATAATTATACTCACATTTGTAAATACCTGACATCCTATAAAAACAGGTGGTACATAACAATATACATGAAAAATTCATTTAACAAACAGGATTTGAACCCATGGCACAAGACAGTCCTGCATCTAGCAGGCCAGTGTCCTAACCAGTACACCAAGATATTAACCCTTAAACGGTCCAAATGTATATATACGTTCATGCGCGTAGCACCCCAAACGTATATATACGTTTTCTTTGTCATTCATTCAACATTGCCACAATAAGCCTGAGTCACCTAGACATGAGAGAATGGGTGTGTGCACTCACTGTGCGCCATATTAAAATAATTGGGGATGCCTGGGTACCATATGCTCTTTTTTCCTTTTAAAAGAAAAGATTTTTTTTTCCTCAAAAAATTTGGGGCACTACGCGAGTGAGTGTATATATACGTTTGGACCATTTAAGGGTTAAGATACATCCAACTAGATATATTTCCATACACTAGGAAGGATATCATAAGCCCTGCTATAACCACAAATGCAGGTATTTACAGAGGAGTATCTCACCAAAATAGCTCAAGTCCCTTCAAAGCCATTATTAATACTAGTTTTAGGACTGGCTTGTCAGTGGTTCACATCCTGTCTACTCTGTGAGTTGTTTGTTATTATCCTGAGTTCATAAGTCATACATGAGTAATGTTTACATAAATAAACCATATGGCCAGAAAAGTTGGTGTCAAAAATTTGAGAATGTGATAAGAGCTACATACAATGACTAATCATGCCAGGGTTATGTAAAATTAAAGGCTGAGAATATTGTACTGATGAATTTAGGAGAAAAATCACTGTAAATAATATGAGAAAGGAAATGACCCAAACCTATGAATATAAATTATATACTGAGGCAAAGCTAAAATAAATCAACTAATTAATGACTCAACTGTCATGAAAAGAAGAGGTGTAAAAATGCTTTAAAAATTAAAAATATTGATAATGCTGAGAAAACACACATAATAGAATTTTGCACATTTAAACACACTAATTTATGTACACTTCCTAAACACAAATTTTCTAAACCAAATATTTAAAAAAGAAATCATGCCAGAGACTCAAGCAAAGACTAGAAATAAAAAATACACACTCAAAAATACTATGAAGTAAATGACTGTACTGTATAACACAATGATCAAATGGATAACCAAATTTAAATGATCAATGAGAAATGCAGAGCACACACCCATGATTGCAGAGTTGACAACTGAGCAAATATCCCACACTCCCAAGTACTGCTCAAGAGCACCACATTCTGCTATGGGATCAACTATCATCGGTGAATTTTCTTCCATCAGATGGGCTTTTAGAAGAGCAGCTATTCTAAGAAACAACAGACAAGTTTCGCGAACCTGAAAATACAAGAGGTGACAGCTGAAGATTTTGAGATACTACAAAATACTACAAAAATACACTTAAATGTTCAATATTCAATACTGCCAAAGGTAGTTATTCCTTAACGCAAGCAAAGCATTCATGGCTGTGGGTCGTGAAACAGAACTGTGATATGCCTCACTTCAATGACTGCTACTTATATTTTCCTCAATCTCAACAATAAATTCTGATTAAAATGATATTTTAATGATTGTCCTCACTAGGTATAGCATAACTAGGTATAATGGATAAAGATTATTTCTAGAGGTATAACTCTCTCAAGTTTAGGTGATAAACTTTAATATCTGGATTCTGATCCATTATAAAGGCATTATCTAAAATAATTATAAACTAGAGAAATTTAATCTGCAAGGTCAGATATACATAAAAAAGATCTTGAGACAAAATTTTAAACAAGTCTGGCATTAAAATCAAACTAATTTGATTGTTATTTATCAATAAAAAGTAGTGTGTTGCTGCTGACATATTGACAATAAAATAGTGCAAGCATAATTGATGCATTTCTACCAGCATACGAATAATTATAAACTAACTGTAAAATATTAAGCAGCATCTTCATTTGTTTTAACACATTTTCAGATACAAGTTCCTCTGAAGATTCATGTAAACGTACAAAGGCTCTCAGGTATTTCCATTTTGTTATTATCTCACTGTTGTATCTTTGCACATTTGTAGTTAGGGGTTTTAGAGAGATTTCCTCCCATAATTATTTTTATATCTGTTTAAGCATATCCTTGAATGCCTTGTTTCCCATGGAAAATCTTCTTTTCAAGGTAGTGACCCTGTGTACTTTTCCTCATATACTTCACCCCACTTCTTAAATTATGAGATTTACCTTTAATCTGCTATGGATGCATCTACAATAGCAGCAGCATTGGAAAAAGCATTACAAGTACTCCATAATACTACTGTATCCAGTTAAATGCCTTTCACTGTTGCTTACATAAACTATATATTAACTCATCCAATAATAAGTTATAGAGCTATGAGTGAAAAACTTACCTGGCAGGTAACATCATTAACAGTCCATGTCTCCTGTGTGTGATCTGCTAGTGGCACCTGGTCATCACAAAAGAATGGGCTATCCCGTAAAGTGTTATGAGCTAGTGCCAGAAGTGGAGCAAGGGGACCACTAGTGGTAGCCTGCTCCCTCTGACTCTCATTAAGTGACCGAAGAGCGGAAACAGCTGCACCTACTACTGCCACCCGGTACACATTGCCCACAACACACCTTATATAACCTGGAGAATACAATATTGTTTGAAGAAAATTACTTAAGAACATAAGAACATATGAAAGAAGGAACACTGCAACAGGCCTACTGACCCATGCAGAGCAGGTCCATGTCCCCCCCCCCTGATTAGACCAATGACCCACCCCCTGGATTATCCCAATGACTCACCCAGTCTGGTCATCCCCACTCAAGGCTGGAGCACTGTACCAGACCCAGCAGCACAAGCTAGTCAGGTCCAACTCACACCCACCCACACCCATTCATGTATTTATCTAACCTATTTTTAAAACTACACAACGTTTTAGCCTCAATAACTGTACTCAGGAGCTTGTTCCACTCATCCACAACTCTATTACCAAACCAGTGCTTTCCTATATCCTTCCTGAATCTGAATTTTTCCAACTTGAAATCATTGCTGCGAGTCCTGTCTTGGCTGGAAATTTTCATGAATGTGTGCATAGTTACACTATACAAAATACTGTATTATCAATACAAAATATACAGCAAAATAAAAGTGTAACACCGTATTATAACATTTTCTGCATCTTGGAGGAAGGAATGACATTTGTAAGTTTATCATCTGTTTACAATAATAGACTAGCAATAGGACATTGAGCAATTCTTTTATTTTCAAGGAAGATTGGTTAGCTTAGGGGAAGTGGACAAACTCCTATTTCCAGAAATTACGCAAATTTAACATTTATAGGCAAAATTTATGAATACCACCTATGAAACTGCTATGTGTTCCTTTATGCAAGATATTATCTGTGATATATTCCTCACTTTTACCTATATCACCTATTCCTATTAGTGGCAGTTCAGCACCTGTATTTATGATCATGTAAAAAATATACACAAAAATATATATACAGTACTGATCAAAATAAAATGTATTACACTTCAAAAAGCAATAAATAGTTAAGTGTTAGAAATTAATTTCATGTCATCGGCAAAAAACAACACTGAGAATTATTATATTTTTATAATCTAATTAATTCCTGGGTTGCTTTATCTATCCAGGGGTAAACAATATCTTTCTAGCTTATTTAAATCAATAACAATAAATTAACACGAAAGAAGATCCTACAATAATATGTTATGAAAGAGCTTTAAAACAATGTAAATTACCACAAGACAGCTAGATTAAACATATTCAAAGACACCATTATTTTTAAGAAATCTTCATGAATACAGAATGAAAAATGGAAAGACTATAAAAAATTATGCTATGTTAGAGGTTTTGTACCTTGGTCTATCCGAGATGGTAACAGAAGTATTAGCTGCAGGAGGAGTGTGACTGGGTCACGCAGAAGTAAAGGGACTTCTCTCTCTCTCGGGGTAACTGCTCCTTCACTACCAATCACTGGTCGCTGTGTGATAGATGCCCAAGTTTGTCGGATCCAATGTAATCCTCCACCTACTCCAGAGTCACCCCCTCCACTCAAAATTTTAGAGTGAAATCCAAGGACGTGAAGAAGGGACACTGTAAAAAACAAGAAAATGAAAATTAAGCAATAAATTTCAGGAAGTTTATAAGTGATATGCAATTAGTAACTTACCTGCAATTTAATTCAACATAATGAGTTAAATTCAGTGGCGTATGGTGGATTATTGTCACAGTGTGCACTGTGCATGATACAACTTGCTGTGGGGGTGTGCAGTGCTATCTTAGAATTATTTTCTAACACGTCGGCCGTTTCCCACCGAGGCAGGGTGACCCAAAAAGGAAGAAAACCCCCCTAAAAAGAAAGAAAAAACTTACATCATTCAACACTTTCACCATCATTTATACACAATCACTGTTTTAGCAGAGGCGCTCAGATACGACAGTTCAGATGTCACTCCAAACAGCCAATATCCCAAGCCCCTCCTTTAATCCTTTAACTGTTTCAGTCGTATATATACATCTTACGAGCCACCGTGTTTGACGTATAACTATGTACTCATAAATTATAGCGGCTTCAAATCAAGCAGGAGAAAGCTGGTAGACCTACATGTGAGAGAATGGGTCTGTGTGGTCAGTGTGCACCATATAAAAAAATCCTGCAGCACGTAGTGCATAATGAGAGAAAAAAAAAACTGACCATTTTTTTTTTTTAATAAAATGCCGACTTTGTGGTCTATTTTCATATAGTATTTATGATTGTATTCTCGTTTTCTTGGTCTCATTTGATAGAATGAAAAATATATTACAGAAATAGAGGTGATTTTGAGTGGTTTTACTATAAAAAAAGCCTGGAAATGGAGCTCAATGTAGGGGAAATGCTTGATTTTTACCTATGTTCAAAAGTAAACAAATGATGTAACTCTCCAATAAATGTCCAACTAGCCATTCTAATATGCACTCATGAATGGGTTGACATTATTTATACAATTATTACAATATTGTAGTAGTCTGCATAACAGTAAATCTTCTATTTTTTGTTTGAATAAAAATTCAAAACAGAAAGCAAGAGTAATATCAGAGGGGTCTGGAGGCATGACTGATGAACAAAGAAAATGTTATTTTAGAGCCAGGAATGTCTGCATTTTTCATTCTGGACCCTATTTTGAAATTGTCATATTTTTTAATTTTTGTGAAATTGGCCAAATTGCAAATTTCTGACCATGTTATTGGGTAGTTGAAATTGGTAAATGGGCAATTTCTTGTACTCAATCAATAGAAAAAATGGAGTTCTAAAGATATAGCTATGAGTTTGGTTGACTGGAACAATGGAATTAGCCAAAAACAGGGGTCAAAGTGGGCGAAATCGCCAATTTGTAAACATCGCCGAGGTCACTAACTTCGCGAGAGCGTAATCCCGTCAGTTTTCCATCAAATTTCGTTCTTTTGGTGTCATTACAATCGGGAAAAGATTCTCTATCATTTCGTTAAAAAAAAAGAAATTTTTTTTTTTAATTTTTGCGACACCAGGAAACCTCAGGATTTGGGGTTGCAACAGTCAAGGGGTTAAAGTGCAGGCACTGTACCTCCCACTTCCAGGACACAGGTCCTGTTAATGGTTTCCCTGAATCCCTTCACAAGATATTACCCAGCTCACACTCTAACAGCTCTTCAGGTCCCAAAAGCCATTCGTCTCCACTCACTCCTATCTAACATGCTCATGCACGCTTGCTTGAAGTCCAAGCCCCTCGCCCACAAAGCCTCCCTTACCCCTTCCCTCCATCCTTTTCTAGGAAAATTATTACAAAAATTATTACAATCCAATGACCTGGTATACACAAGGTGACCTTACCACCACCACTTCCTCTTCTTATATTCAATAAAATGGCATAAGAAAAAGGTAATTTCACAATTAGGAGCAGCTTATCATTTCTCTCTGTCAGCTTAATATGGTTTCCTACAAAAAATGCTTTGTTTTTCACACAATATTTTACACATAAATTATGATAACAAAAATTATTGTAATGATGCAGGTAAAATTACTGACACTGCATTAGGTAAAATGACACAAGTGCAACTAATGTGCCATTTTATTTTGGAAATGTAGCCACAATAAAATGTCACATTAGTTGCATATGTCCTTTTACCTAACAAAAATTATACCAGGTATATAACGCTGAAGTTAAACAATTTTGTCCACCACAAACACTTAAGATTTTAATACTGGGTATACAGAAAAATCAGAAATCCAACAACTGCTTGTTCATAGTTGTGCCAAATTTTTTCACATTTTACTGTACCAACATAATAAAAAGAATAAATACTAACTAATTTTCAGAACAAGAAATACTCACTAAGACATGAGCGCTTGACATCCATTTTAACATCTTGGGCTTGATACACCAGGATTCCTCCACGCTGAACCAACTCCACCTCCAGGTTTGTTCGTAAAATAGACGATACAAACATGAAGAGGGACGGAGTAGAAGGATTAGATGAAACATTTCGATACTTGGCGTATGTAGCTACTGTCATATCCTCCATCATTCGGGCCATGGCATTGGTCAAAGAACTACTGAATGTCTGCAAGAGAAAACAAAAAAAGGTATTTTAAGATATCAATTCACTAGATGAAGTTTTGTACCTTAGCTATTTCCCACCACAAAAATGTTTCAGTATTATTAACATTATTTGTGGCAACTCTTCCATTTTATCTACACTTCTTTATCTAGATACCAAACTACTGCTTATTTCAACTATGGTATAACATACTGTGTGTTTACCTATTTGTAGTTACAGGAAAAGAGCTAAGCTTGTGGCATCCCATCTCAGTATTTACTAATAATGGCAGAATTACTCACAAAATGTTAGGTAAAGGACAAAGATACAACTAATTTGACATATTAATGTGGCAACATTTCAATCTGCAGAGCAAAACGTTGCCACACTAAAATGTCACATTTGCACGAGTCCTTTTGCCTAACATTCTCAGTATTTATCCTATCGTAAAGCTTTTAAGTGCATTATTATTGCATTATTGTAAACTGAACAGCCTCTCCTCACCTAGCGAAGTACTTGTTTAAAGACGACTCGGACTTACGACAGGCTCTCTGACCAGTATGCATACCTAAATAATGTATATTAGTTCTGATTTCCTCTCTTCTGTTCATTACAATATACAGTACACTACTGTATAAACATTTAAAAGTATACCAGAAATGTTATAAATGGTGCAAAGGTGACATTAAAACAATATCAAAGATGGTTGACACAAACTCATTACCATTATAGTGTGCTCCTCACTTAGCGATGAATTCGTTTACCAACGTGTTCCTAGGAATGGAACTCCATCGTTAAGCGAGGAGAGACTGAATTTCAAGAAGTGCTCAATCCATGTGGGTCATTCAGCCCAAGGATTGGTAGAGGCTTCATCCTGCTAATCACAGTCAGATTTCCGGTCAGTCAGCTTTTTACATACTATTCCAATATTTTACAAATATAAACTTTCTCTCTGCAGTTCTTCCTCAGTTTTCAATTATGGTGTCCTGTTATGTCAGTTGATAGGCTCAGGATATAATCCATCTTCGTTATATTAGTTCTGACAACTAGATTCGAGATTGAAGAAATGAAAAATATCAGCATAATGTCACATAAAGGCCAATAATTTACCAGAATAGTAATGTTGAATTAGTTAATAACTTGCAGGAACAGTAAGGTCATATTCAAGCCAATAACATAACAAAACAATAAGGCCCTGAATAAGCAACAAGGTGAAGTAGAACCCAGTAACTTACTGGAACTGTAAGGTCATGTAGAAGTCGATCAACCTCCTCTACCAAATCATTATCACAGGTGGAAGGATGCTTCACCAAAGCTGATAAGTCACCAATTTCAGGAGATATAGGTAGCACTGAATTGCCAAGCTGTCGACAAAGTGGACACGAATATTCACCCCTGAAAAACAGGAAAGAATATTCTGAATGAAATTTCAGGCAATATAATTTATTTTGATGTAGCTTAGAGAGAAATTGCTGTTCGGTAATCTTTCTTTCATTATGAATTCTTTAATTTGAAATTCTCCCAACTTCTGAATCTGGAATATTCCTTGAAATTCAAATTTAAAACTGAAATTTCAATTTGGCATCTGAACAAAATTATTTGATTAAAGATACTTTGTCAAATTTAGCAGATGGATATGATATCATTAAAACCACATGGGAGATCACAAATACAGAATAGAGAACACTGTTTCCTTGTAACCTCTTACACCTCATATAACAGGAAAGTGAAAGGGAATAGGGTGAAGGGAAGGGAAGTGCCAGGAAAGTGGGAGAAGTGTGTGAAGAAGAGACAAAGAACTAAAGGAGAGTGAGAGGAAGAGAAAGAGAGCTAACTGGGAGAATAAGGAGGATAAGTGTGAAGGAGAGTGAGGAAGCTAAGTGTAAGGGAGAGTGAGGGAGGCTACATGTGAGGACAGTGAGAAACAATTTAATAAAGTTAGTCCTAGGAATACACATGAATATTTTCATTTTTTTTCCATAATTTTTATTATCATAATCCTTGTCTGATTTGCTTTTTCAATTCACATTTGAAAAGAAGAAGTATTATTGACTTTAATAACACATAATACAGACATAATATGCAGATAATGTGTATATATGTGCATGAAATGTAAGCACAAGTAATGTACAAGACTTGTGCTGATACAATGCACAAGAAACATGTCAGTACTTCCCGGACTAATGTAACTAATACATTAATATAGTGAATCTACAATAGCAAGTATGCAATGTCTACCACGTTATTCAAGAAAACTAAATTTTTTTTGTTATAATGGAAGCTTACTTATCAACATTGAGAGGATTGTTTTGGCGGTTCTGTGAGCGTAGCGCAAGAAGGTATGACTGATGACAATCTAGATGCAGGTGATGACCACATGTCTGTACATGCACGCCTCCTTCCCAGCCAATATTCATAGACACAAGCCAAGAGTTCTGAAATTTTTGGGAGGAGTAAAATTTATTTAGCAAGTGTAGATTCTTGTCTCTTAATCCTAGTGCTGCTGCTACCAACTACAAATATCATACTATCTACCAAAAGAGTACTATTTTTAATTCTACTTATTCACTATTGCTTCCCTCTTCTAATTCCTTCCCTATATTATGCTTTACGGCCAGAACTTGACACTTTAGCTTTTTTAACAATGATCTCTTGAACAAATAAGCCAAACATGTATTCATTTTTACTGTAACTGAAAAATCATGCTTCTAAATTAATTTTGGTGCCAAATTTAAAAAAACTTTACTATAGTACCCTCTCATAAATATAAAATATGTTCTTGAATATCAGTGTATGCTGTAAAAATGCACCATACATGCTAAATAATATATGGGAAAAGTTGGATAACTTTCCAAACATCTCAAAGGTTAACCCTTCAAAATACATTCAATTACTGGGCTCTACACATGAACAAAAAAAAAAAAAAACTGTTGGGTTAAGTTGGTCACTTGCAACTCCATATCAACAGTTATGGACCTGTGTGGCTTGCATTGCCTTTAAAACACATTATTGCTACAGTATTTGCTTTAGAAGTCAAGTTTTTATTTGTTTTCCATGTACATGCTATGTCAAAAGTATCACAATGGTAAATCAGTAATCATATTCAAGGGCTTATTACCTTCTTACTTTACTCTAAAGTGTAACCCAAAACCTACCCTTGACCTTGAGTATACAAGGTACAGGGTGATTTTCCGAGCCTTTTTGTGGGAAAAAGGTGTGCCTTATAGTATGTGGGAAAATGTAGTGTATTTATTATTTTTATTATCACACTGGCCGATTCCCACCAAGGCAGGGTGGCCCGAAAAAGAAAAACTTTCACCATCATTCACTCCATCACTGTCTTGCCAGAAGGGTGCTTTACACTACAGTTTTTAAACTGCAACATTAACACCCCTCCTTCAGAGTGCAGGCACTGTACTTCCCATCTCCAGGACTCAAGTCCGGCCTGCCGGTTTCCCTGAACCCCTTCATATATGTTACTTTGCTCACACTCCAACAGCACATCAAGTATTAAAAACCATTTGTCTCCATTCACTCCTATCAAACACGCTCACGCATGCCTGCTGGAAGTCCAAGCCCCTCGCACGCAAAACCTCCTTTACCCCCTCCCTCCAACCTTTCCTAGGCCGACCCCTACCCCGCCTTCCTTCCACTACAGACTGATACACTCTTGAAGTTATTCTGTTTCGCTCCATTCTCTCCACATGTCCGAACCACGTCAACAACCCTTCCTCAGCCCTCTGGACAACAGTTTTGGTAATCCCACACCTCCTCCTAACTTCCAAACTACGAATTCTGGGCATTATATTCACACCACACATTGCTCTCAGACATGACATCTCCACTGCCTCCAGCCTTCTCCTCGCTGCAACATTCATCACCCATGCTTCACACCCATATAAGAGCGTTGGTAAAACTATACTCTCATACATTCCCCTCTTTGCCTCCAAGGACAAAATTCTTTGTCTCCACAGACTCCTAAGTGCACCACTCACCCTTTTCCCCTCATCAATTCTATGATTCACCTCATTTTTCATAGACCCATCCGCTGACACGTCCACTCCCAAATATCTGAATACATTCACCTCCTCCATCCTCTCTCCCTCCAATCTGATATCCAATCTTTCATCACCTAATCTTTTTGTTATCCTCATAACCTTACTCTTTCCTGTATTCACTTTCAATTTTCTTCTTTTGCACACCCTACCAAATTCATCCACCAATCTCTGCAACTTCTCTTCAGAATCTCCCAAGAGCACAGTGTCATCAGCAAAGAGCAACTGTGACAACTCCCACTTTATGTGTGATTCTTTATCTTTTAACTCCACGCCTCTTGCCAAGACCCTCGCATTTACTTCTCTTACAACCCCATCTATAAATATATTAAACAACCACGGTGACATCACACATCCTTGTCTAAGGCCTACTTTTACTGGGAAATAATTTCCCTCTTTCCTACATACTCTAACTTGAGCCTCACTATCCTCGTAAAAACTCTTCACTGCTTTCAGTAACCTACCTCCTACACCATACACCTGCAACATCTGCCACATTGCCCCCCTATCCACCCTGTCATACGCCTTTTCCAAATCCATAAATGCCACAAAGACCTCTTTAGCCTTATCTAAATACTGTTCACTTAAATGTTTCACTGTAAACACCTGGTCCACACACCCCCTACCTTTCCTAAAGCCTCCTTGTTCATCTGCTATCCTATTCTCCATCTTACTCTTAATTCTTTCAATAATAACTCTACCATACACTTTGCCAGGTATACTCAACAGACTTATCCCCCTATAATTTTTGCACTCTCTTTTATCCCCTTTGCCTTTATACAAAGGAACTATGCATGCTCTCTGCCAATCCCTAGGTACCTTACCTTCTTCCATACATTTATTAAATAATTGCACCAACCACTCCAAAACTATATCCCCCCCTGCTTTTAACATTTCTATCTTTATTCCATCAATCCCGGCTGCCTTACCCCCTTTCATTTTACCTACTGCCTCACGAACTTCCCCCACACTCACAACTGGCATGTATAGTTCCTTTATATAAAGGGAAGGGGGACAAGAGAGACTGTAAAAATTATAGAGGAATAAGTTCACAGAGTATACCAGGAAAAGTGTACGGTAGGGTTATTATTGAAAGAATTAAGAGGTACGACAGAGAATAGGATTGTGGATGAGCAAGGAGGCTTTAGAGTGGGTAGGGGATGTGCAGAACAAGTGTTTACATTGAAGCATATATGTGAACAGTATTTAGATAAAGGTAGAGAAGCTTTCAATGCATTTATGGATTTAGAAAAGACATGATAGAGTGGATAGGGGAGCAATGTGGCAGATGTTGCAAGTATATGGAATAGGTGGTAAGTTACTAAATGCTGTAAAGAGCTTTTATGAGGATAGTGAGGCTCAGGTTAGGGTGTGTAGAAGACGGAGAATACTTCCCGGTAAAAGTAGGTCTTAGACAGGGATGTGTAATGTCACCATGGTTGTTTAATATATTTATAGATGGGGTTGTAAAAGAAGTAAATGCTAGGGTGTTCGGGAGAGGGGTGGGATTAAATTATGGGGAATCAAATTCAAAATGGGAATTGACACAGTTACTTTTTGCTGATGATACTGTGCTTATGGGAGATTCTAAAGAAAAGTTGCAAAGGTTAGTGGACGAGTTTGGGAGGGTATGTAAAGGTAGAAAGTTGAAAGTGAACATAGAAAAGAGTAAGGTGATAATGGTATCAAATGATTTAGATAAAGAAAAATTGGATATCACATTGGAGAGAAGGAGTATGGAAGAAGTGAATGTTTTCAGATATTTGGGAGTTGATGTGTCAGCGGATGGGTTTATGAAGGATGAGGTTAACCACAGGATTGATGAGGGAAAGAAGGCGAGTAGTCCGTTGAGGTAGTGGAGGCAGAGAAGGGAATGTATGAAAGTATAGTGGTACCAACACTCTTATATGGGTGTGAAGCTTGGGTTGTAAATGCTGCAGTGAGGAGGCGGTGGAGATGTCCTGTCTAAGGGCAATGTGTAGTGTAAATATTATGCAGAGAATTCAAAGTGTAGAGTTAATAAAAGTATTAGTCAAAGAGCTGAAGAGGGGTTGTTGAGGTGGTTTGGTCATTTAGAGAGAATGGATCAAAGTAGAATTACATGGAGAGCGTATAAATCTGTAGGGGAAGGAAGGCGGGGTAGGGATCATTCTCGAACAGGTTGGAGGGAGGAGGTAAAGAAGGTTTTGTGGGCGAGGCACTTGGACTTCCAGCAAGCGTGCATGACCATGTTAGATAAGAGTGAATGGAGACGAATGGTTTTTGGGACCTGACGAGCTGTTGGAGTGTGAGCAGGGTAATATTTAGTGAAGGGATTCAGGGAAACCGGTTATTTTTATACAGCCAGGCTTGAGTTCTGGAAATGGGACATACAGTGCCTGCACTTTAAAGGAGGGGTTTGGGATATTGGCAGTTTGGAGGGATGTGTAATAGGATGGTATATATATAATTCGGGCCCTGATATTATATTCTGTAGGGAGTTTATTATATTATTTCAGGTCACTTTTTTTATATTATATCTTTATATATGTTTCTAAACTGTTGTATCTAGGCACCTCTGCAAAAACAGTTATTATGTGTGAGTGAGGTGAAAGTGTTGAATGGTGATGAAAGTATTTTTGTTTCGGGGATTTTTTCTTTCTTTTTGAGTCACCCTGCCTAGGTGGGAGATGGCCGACTTGTTGAAAAAAAAAATAGATATATGTACTGTACTTACATAATCAAAGTGTCTGTTTAGTGTATCTGCTCTTTCTTCCATGTACTGACCCAAGGTAAACCTTCTTTGTTTTAATCTCGTTCTTTCTGAATCTGAAGTAGGAACACTTAGAGGTTTTTGAGATGAGGTTCTGTGACCAAGCACACTTGTTGCCTGCAAATATTTAAAGTTATATTAATTCTATGGTGGTAATTCCAAATGACTGGTTGAAATCACAGTCTTTCCTTTCATTAGATACACATGACATGATCTTCTTAGATGTTCACTTTCTGAATCATAAAATAGGAGCAAATACTAAAAGAACTGATGAACTGAACCTAATTTCTGAGACATTATGAGAGCTAGATATTTTCAAACTCTACAATTTCAAAGGAATACAGTAGAGACACAAATCAGTTCTTAGCTGGGATGCAGAGTTAAATGAGTAGTCAATATCCGACAGAACGCCTAATACAAATGAGGCAGTTATTAAGAAGTTCATTTTCATCTGCCATAAAAACAGTAAATAAACTTGTTAAACGGGGCATTTGAAGCCACCTTCTTACAAGGGTTAAAATGTAAATACAACAGAACAAATGTGCATCAGATGAACAAAAGTAAAGACAAATTCAAATAATTATACACTTTCTTTTTTTAACCTCAATAGCCATCACCTCAATAGCCATCTATCCTAAGGCAGTGACCATTCACCATCATTCTTTCAACTGCTGTTTTACAAGTATGCAGACATTTCAATTTGTATATACAAACAAAACTAGAGTAGCTGCACTCTGAAGGATAGATGGGAATATTACATTTAGAGGATTATTTACAGTGTGAAGTCTTCACACTACTGGCAAGATAGCTACTGAAACAATGAAAGTGAACATTTCCATTATTTGGTGGTTGAAGCTCATGATAAAAAAATATGAAAGGATCTCATTAACACAATAACCGTACAGTTTTGTACAATAGTGTACCTCAACACAATATTCCTAAAAAGAAAGTTACAGTGTACGTAGTAATTGGTGTATAATAAGCCTACAGAATAAATTTACTGCCGATGTTAATCATTGCATACAATAAGGAGTCACTTCATCTTGCAGACATTAAGTAATTTTTTTTAAGATTTAACATGAATTACAAGTAACAAAATTCTAAACATAAATATATGAGAGCTACAGTATTATATACTTAATGTTGTGCATCAGCAAAATGATGCAACTCTTTCGTATGTACAATTTCATGACAACTGTACAAAAATGAACGTCTTACTTGAAGTAGCACCACTAGCCCCACTGGTCTCTCTGGAGTGGATGGGATTGATTGATTGCAAATAACACAGTCATACTCCTTATGTCTTTCTGGCTGCTCCTCCTCCACCTCCATTGCATCATTTCCACTAGCTTCAAATTCTGCTGCCTCAGCCCTGTTTTGTTCCATAAATTGACGCTGGCGATTTGCAAACTCAGCCATAACTCTCTTCTGCCTTTCTTTCGCACGTTTCCTCTTCTCCTCTCTTGCTCTTGCTTCTTCCTCGGAAGATGCAGAAGAGTCTTCTTCTCGTTTACAGTAAATACATGATATAGTGTCTAAGATGCCTTGTTTAGCAGAAGGATCATTTCGACCTATTTTATTGAGCAATTTAGCAATAAAGAAAGGTCCATCGCCTATTCTAGAATCAGAAGTATCACTAAAGTTTGGACGGTAAGAGTTAGGTTTTCCAGTTAATTTTGAATGAAGTTTAATCAGAAGGGAGATAATGGATTCATCAACTGCTACATATTCATCCCCAGAGTCGAGTTGAGGTAACTGGAAGAAACAAACATTGGATTTATTATGCATAAGGAGGATACACCCAAGCTCACTTGCATTATAACTTTCATAATGAGTAAGCATACACTGTGAATGGAGTGAATGGAGACGAATGGTATTTAGGACCTGACGAGTTGTTGGAGTATAAGCAGGGTAATATTTTGTGAAGGGATTCAGGGAAACCGGTTATTTTTACATAGCTGGACTTGAGTCCTGGAAATGGGAAGTACAATGCCTGCACTTTAAAGGAGGGGTTTGGGATATTGGCAGTTTGGAGGGATATGTTGTGTATCCTTATATGTATATGCTTCTAAACTGTTGTATTCTGAGCACCTCTGCAAAAACAGTGATTATGTGTCAGTGAGGTGAAAGTGTTGAATGATATGAAAGTATTTTCTTTTTGGGGATTTTCTTTCTTTTTGGGCCACCCTGCCTCAGTGGGAGACGGCCAAGTGAGTGTAAAACGAAAGCCCGTAATTGTTTTACATGATGATAGGATTGCTGGTGTCCTTTTTTCTGTCTTATAGACATGCAAGATTTCAGGTACATCTTGCTACACTTAGGTCACACTACACATACAGGTACAAGCATATGTATGCACGCCCCTCTGGGTTTTCTGCTATTATTTTCTTTCTAGTTCTTGTTCTTGTTTATTTCCTCTTATCTCCATGGGGAAGTGGTCTAGAATTCTTCCTCCATAAGCCATATGTGTTGTAAGAGGCAACTAAAATGCTGGGGGCAAGGGGCTAGTAACCTCTTCTCTTGTATAGATTACTAAATTTAAAAAGAGAAACTTTTGTTTTTCTTTTTGGGCCACCCTGCCTAGGTGGGATACGGCCGGTTTGTTGACAAAAAAAAAATAAACACACACAAAAAAACTTATTTTTAACAAACTGGCCTTCTCCCACCAAGGCAGAATGATCCAAAAAAGAAATACTTTCATCATCATTCACATTATCACCGTCTTGCCAGAGGCACACAGATATGACAGTTCAGAAGTTCTTCAAAAGAGCAAATATCTTTACCTCTCCTTTAGAGTGCATGCACTATGCTACTTACCTCCAGGACTCAAGTTCAGCTAACCAGTTTCCTTGAATCCCTTCACAAAATGTTACCTTGCTCACATTCCAATAGCACATCTGGTTCCAAAAAGCATTTGCCTCCACTCACTCCTATCTTACACATGTTCACACTTGCCTGCTGGATGTCCAACTACGTGTGTAAGTGGATAAAAAAATATCTTTTAGCTTTGTTTCCTTATATGAGAATTTCTTATGTAAGATAATTCTCAATCATTCTTTTTTCAAACTTTGTAATAATTGCTGAACTGTATTTCTTTAACATACTGACTATTTCCCAACAAGGAAATTGACTCAAAGAAGGAATTACATTCGCCATCATTTTTTTTATTTTTTCCAAAATTGAATGAAAATAAATAAAACAACTCACCAAGCCACATCACCACCACCTGTGCTCTGGAGAATGGTGCACTTCCCACCTGAAGAACTCAAGTTTGGCTAACTGATTTCCCAGAATCCCTACAGAAATGTTACATGGCTTACACTTCAAAAGCACATCAAATCTCAAAACCCACTTATTTCCACTCACTATAACCTACCACACTCACTGCAACCTACCACACTCACTGCAACCTACCACACTCACTGCAACCTACCACACTCACTGCAACCTACCACACTCACTCATGCTTGCTGCTTCTACCACTTAAACTTTCTTCACACCCTCCTATATTACTACACATTTTTTTTTTTTTCAACAAGTCGGCCATCTCCCATCGAGGCAGGGTGACCCAAAAAAGAAAAAATCCCCCAAAAGAAAATGCTTTCATCATCATTCAACACTTTCACCACACTCACACATTATCACTGCTTTTGCAGAGGTGCTCAGAATACAGCAGTTTAAAAGAATATACATATAAAGATACACAACATATCCTTCCAAACTGCCAATATCCCAAACCCCTCCTTCAAAATTACACAAAATTACTTACACTTATATCTTTCTTTCTTCTTTCAACACACCGGCCGTATCCCACCGAGGCGGGGTGGCCCAAAAAGAAAAACGAAAGTTTCTCCTTTTACATTTAGTAATATATACAGGAGAAGAGGTTACTAGCCCCTTGCTCCTGGCATTTTAGTCGCCTCTTACAATACGCATGGCTTACGGAGGAAGAATTCTGTTCCACTTCCCCATGGAGATAAGAGGAAATAAACAAGAATAAGAACTAGAAAGAAAATAGAAGAAAACCCAGAGGGGTATGTATATATATGCTTGTACACGTATGTGTAGTGTGACCTATGTGTAAGTAGAAGTAGCAAGACGTACCTGAAACCTTGCATGTTTATGAGACAGAAAAAAGACACCAGCAATCCTACCATCGTGTAAAACAATTACAGCCTTTCGTTTTACACTCACTTGGCAGGACGGTAGTACCTCCCTGGGCAGTTGCTGTCTACCAACCTACTACCTATATTACACTTATATATATGGTACATATTAACTAAGATTCAAGCTGGGACAGTATTAATCATAATAAATGGTATAGGAAAATATTAAGACATATTACTGTATCAGGAATTTTTTTAGCATATTATAGTTTTAAAAAAAAGAAATTCATTAGCAACAAATAACCCACTTCGTGAGTACAGCAATTCATTAATATTTATGAATAGGTAAAGCTATGTTAAAGTAGAATTTTATTAGAAAAGGTTATTCTCAAATATATACACCTACCATCCGACTTACAACCTGCTCGACTTACGACCATTCGACTTACGACCGTGTTTTTTTATGCCAAATTTCTAGGAAATAAACAACTATTTGTGTCGTACACAGTGTTTATCCTAAACCTTACAGTATAAAATACAGTACTAACAGCATAAAAAGTAAAGTAAAACATGAAATGCCAAAATAAAACAATAAAATAAAGTCATTACAAAAATGTTTTGTTGATATTCAGTAGCAAAGTTCGACTTACGACCATTTCGACTTACAACCAGTTTCTCGGAACCAAACTCGGTCGTAAGTCGGATGGTAGGTGTATTTATATTAAAACAGCTATTGGTAACAGTCTGACTTTGCAACTAATATGCAGTCACTACAGTACAGGATAGAAAGTACAATACAGTACATTGCAGTGCAGTGCAATGCTATAAAGTTCAACACAGACCAGCAGAGCAAGGAAAGTTTATGAAAAAATATGGGCCAAAGTTATGAAACCCCATCAGATATTTCTCTAGAAATGAAGAACATTAAAGGTACAATAAGTCAGCGGCCATCAGAGAGTTTCAGGAAATGAGGAATGTTCATAAGTGAAAATGTGGAAATTATAATTATTATATTCATGGGGAAGCACTAAACCCACTGGAGTCATACAGAGCCTGGACAGAATTGGAAGCATTCAAGTTCAATCCAAGGAAGGGAAGGGCAGGTCTTCAAGTCCTTGGATTAGAAGCCTTTCACCAGCATCAAGGAACCTCCTTTGATGGGTATGTGGGAATGATAAAGATAAATAAAATATCAAAGACCAGCTAAACAACTTTAACATACATTAATATCTATTTATATCTTTTGATACTTTGTTTAACTGAACTCCTCCTTTGAAGAAATGGCCTAGTGTCAAATATATCTTTTATTATTCAATAACATTCATGTGTTTAGAGAACATCACAAGAGTAAATGGAACATTTACTAAAAACTCCAGCTGTAAAAGACCTCAGAAAATGAGTCAAGCCATGTCAAATAAACACTTACAGAGGAGAAATGTGAAAGTTCAGGTGTTGGTGGAGATGCTTGGAAAGCTGGTGGAGAAGAGCCATCAGTAGCTGGAAGAAGAGCTTTGGTAGGACCAGCTGGACGCCGTGTACGCTGGTGGTAGTGATGTTGCAGCATGAAACAGCGCCCATGGTGACCTCTGTTGCTACAGGAGGGGCCATTATTGCTGCTGCTTCTGCCATTGCCAGCTATTCTTCCAACTTCATTTCCAGCTAGTAGAGAAGGATACTGGACTGGAGCAGGTAAAGAGGCTCGTGTTGATGCACCATCTGAAGTACAAACAAAAATCAAATGTTTTAAAAGAAGAATTATAAAAATAAATACAGAATTATAAAATTAGCAAACATTTAAGTGAGAACTTGTCTGAAGAAGCAAGTTACATATCTCACAGTAAAAGAGGTAAGGTGCAAATTTCATCACTTACCTACAGTACATAATGTATTACATGATCTTTAACACTTCAATTTACCTTGCCAACTAAGGCCATTTTCTTTTATATAAGAGAGCATGATGTTAAAACCTCACAGGATATTGTAGTATGTTGCTGTTCATCATGCAAGTTGTTGCAACTTGGCTTTATTTTCACATAATTTTTTTTTTATTAACACATCAGTCAATTCCCACCAAGGCAGGGTGGCCCAAAAAAGAAAAACTTTCATCATCATTCACTCCATCACTGTCTTGCCAGAGGGGTGCTTTACACTACAATTATAAAGCTGCAACATTAACACCCCTCCTTTAGAGTGCAGACACTGTACTTCCCATCTCCAGGACTCAAGTCCGGCCTGCCGGTTTCCCTGAATCCCTTCATGTTACTTTGTTCATACTCCAACAGCATATCAAGTATTAAAAACCATTTGTCTCCATTCACTCCTATCAAATATGCTCATGCATGCCTGCTGAAAATCCAAGCCCCTCGCACACAAAACCTCCTTTACCCCCTCCCTCCAACCTTTCCTAGGCTGACCCCTACCCCGCCTTCCTTCCACTACAGACTGATACACTCTAGAAGTCATTCTGTTTCGCTCCATTCTCTCTACATGTCCAAACCACCTCAACAACTCTTCCTCAGCCCTCTGAACAACAGTTTTGGGAATCCCGCACCTCCTCCTAACTTCCAAACTATGAATTCTCTGCATTATATTCACAACACACATTGCCCTCAGACATGACATCTCCACTGCCTCCAGCCTTCTCCTCGCTGCAACAATCATCACCCATGCTTCACACCCATATAAGAGTGTTGGTAAAACTATACTCTCATATATACACATGATATTATTAACGCTCAATTTGAAATGTAACTTACAGCCATCAAAACACAAGTAGTGTATTTTCCTACTTATAAGTTGAGGTTTCAAATACATGTAGAATTTAATATAGTCATTTTACTAGGTTAGGCTTGGCTGGAGCAGTTAATGGCCTACCAAACCTAAATTAAAGAAACCTAGAAAACGAAAAGAATAATGTTACTATTATATCAGACTCCCACACTATAAGGATATTACTTATGTTCTTGTTACTATAGGTTAAATTTCAACTTAGTGGTTATTAAAAACAATATTACATATAACCATTATGAAAACCTCTTCTTCTGTATAAATTACTAAATATAAAAAGAAGAAAAGATGGGTGGTATGTTGAAAAAAAAAAAGACAAAAGAATGGGTTAATATTACATTAGCCAGAAACTCCCAATAAGGCTTATTTAGGTACAAATTTAAGTTGTTCTAAAACTAACCTGGTGTGTGTGTCATAGGTACTAGCATGTTAGTTGGTGTAGATACTGGTGAGGTTGGTGTGAGGGTTGGAGGAGGTAGGGCCAGTGGTGACATAAGATCTTGAGTTGGAGTTTCTGGAGTGGTGGGCAAGGCTCCTGAAGATACGACAGCTGTGGCACCTTGGTGATAGAGCACTAGTTCACAGCCTGCAGGCAAAGGAAGAGGTCGTGGTGCTTCATGGAGAGCCAGTCTGGGTTCCCCTCCCTCAAGTTCATCCATTTCCAGGTCTGACCCATCTAACTCACCTGGAAAAGTAAACCATTTGTATTATCAAACAATCATTATTTCTTCTATTTCCTCCACTTTTCTTCCTCAAATAATTTTCCTTTTTTGCTTATCTACCTCACTGTCTAACATGTGTTCTTGTGCATACACAAACCTACATATACAAGTGCATGCACAGTTTTTTTTTTTTCAACAAGTCGGCCGTCTCCCACCGAGATAGGGTGACCCAAAAAAGAAAGAAAATCCCCAAAAAGAAAATACTTTCATCATCATTCAACACTTTCACCTCACTCACACAATCACTGTTTTTGCAGAGGTGCTCAGAACACAGCAGTTTAGAAGCATATACATATAAAGATACACAACATATCCTTCCAAACCGCCAATATCCCAAACCCCTCCTTTAGAGTGCAGGCATTGTACTTCCCACTTCCAGGACTCAAGTCTGGCTATATAAAAATAACTGGTTTCTCTGAATCCCTTCACTAAATATTACCCTGCTCACACTCCAACAGACCATCAGGTCCCAAATACCATTCGTCTCCATACCAACATATATTGGGAGCAGAAGCATTGTCCAAACCACAAACAAAGATTTGCAAAAACTCAATGGACACAGGACAGTTGCCAGAGATCTGGAAGACACTGAATGTAGCCCCTATATATAAGAAAAAAAAAGAGATACAGAAGCACTGAACTGCTTAAGTTTCACTAACATGCTTATCATGGAAGGCAGTGGAGAACATAATTAGAAAGAGTGGTAGTGCACTTGAAAAGAAAGTTCCCTAAATAATAACAAGCATGGGTTAAGAGACTGTAAATCTTGTCTTATCAACCTGTTTAAATTCTATGACAAATTAACAAAAATGAGACAGGAGTGAGAGGGATGGGTCACTGAATTTTCCTGGACTAAAGAAGCCATTTAATACTGTACCCAAAAAGAGATTAGGACAAAAGCTTAAGATGCAGGCAGCAATAACAGGAATATATTCTGGTGGACATAAGAGTAGCCTAGAGGAAGGAAGCAAAGAGTGACTGCCTGAGAGGGAGGTTAGAAAAAGATAAGTATTAGTACCAGTAATATTACTGGTTTACATGAATGACATACCAAATGACACTGAGTCATATGTATCCTTGTTCAATGACAATTTAAAATAAATGAAAATATAAATAGATGAGGATAGGGAAAAATTGCAAATGGATTTTGGCAAAACTGCATTACTGGTCAAATAAGTGGCTGCTTAAATTCAATCCCACTAAATATTAGACTTTGAAGATTGGGAAGGCAACAAAAGACCAGTCATGGAGTATAAACTTGAGGGACAGGGACTGCAAACCTCACTCAAACAGAAAGACCTAGGGATGAGCCTAGTGCTTAGCATATTGCTAGAGGCTCACATCCACTTAAAATCTCTGCAGCCAATGTTCAAATGGCAAATCTAAAAGTAGCCTTCAGAAATCTCAACAAAGTCATCCCGATGCCTTTATGCAACATATGTCAGGCCCATCATGGAGTATGCAGCACAGGCATTGGAACCCACATTGGAAAGCATGTTAAGAAACTGGAGGAAGTGCAGAGGTATGCAATTAGACTTGTTCCAGAACTAATGGGGTATGAGCTATAAGGAGAGGCTAACAGAATTGAATCTAATACTACAGGACAGAAGATCCAGGGAAGACATGATAGGAAAGAGGGATGGGCTGCTGAGAGGCAGGAAACAGGTACTGGAAGTTAAAGATACTGATGAGCCACAAGGAATGTCAAGAAACATTTCTTCAGTCTCAGTATGAATGGGAAGTGGAATGACCTTGACGAATAAGTGGTGCAGGAAGGCTCTGTACAGTTTTAAAAGCAGACATGATAGAGATCATGAAGCTAGAAGGGAGTGAATCTTGCAAGGGGCAAGGCAAAAGGCAAGGCCAGGAGCTAAGACTCAACCCCTGTAACTACATACAGGTGAGTACATAAAAACATCAAATTATCCTATAAGTGTGTTAGTAGAGATCTAGAAATTAATAGTTTAATAGTTTTTATGAGCTTAGAATTCTATGAGGGGCTTGGACTTCCAGCAAGCATGCGTGAGCATGTTAGATAGAAATGAATGGAGACAAATGGTATTTGGGACCTGACAAGCTGTTGGAGTGTGAGCCGGGTAATATTTAGTGATGGGATTCAGGGAAAACGGTTACTTTTATATAGCCGGACTTGAGTACTGGAAATGGGAAGTACAATGCCTGCTCTTTAAAGGAGGGATTTGGGATATTGGCAGTTTGGAGGAATATGTTGTGTATCTTTATAATATATATGCTTCAAAGCTGTTGTGTTCTGGGCACCTCTGCAAAAACAGTGATTATGTATGAGTGAGGTGAAAGTGTTGAATGATGATGAAAGCATTTTTTGGGGGGGATTTTCTTTCTTTTTGGGTCACCCTGCCTCGGTGAGAAATGGCCAACTTGTTAAAAAAAAAAATAGCTTATTAATAAAATTAAGTGATTTCTTATTATAGTGAAGTGTTATAAACAATATTCTTACCATCAGAGCAGGAGCTGACTGATGGAGTTGGATTGAGATGAATCCTTGACACAACAGAGTTGACGTTGGTAAATATATCATCTGTCACAAACCACTTACAAAACTGGCCATCAGGCTTGTCATCATCTGCTTCTATTACCCCATCATAAAACTGAGCAGCCATAACTTCACCCCCTATAATTAAAATGAAATTAAGAATCATTATTATTTAATGTATACAGTACTAGTAGTAAACAAAATGACCTGATACTTCAAATTTTATGAATGCTTGCTATTCCACTGATTTTTTTTTTTTTTTTTTTTGCACAGAACAATTTATTTCCGTGGAGAAGAATCCTTCCTTCGTAAACCACCTGTGTTATAAGAGGTGACTAAAATGCCAGGAGCAGGGGACTAGCAGCCCCTTACCCTGTATAAATCACTAAATATAAAAAAGAAGAACAACCTTCATTTTCTTCTTTTTCGGGTCAACCTGCCTTGGTGGGAGATGGCCCTTGTTAAAAAAAATTACTCTCTAATACTACATCATTTCCCACATGCATAAGTAAATTTATCAAAAGAGGCATATCCCTCAGATAAATTACACAGCAGATCATCTATCCAGTGCCTTAAGGGAGAAGCGGAGCTGGATTTTCAAGGAAAAACAGGATAACTTCCTAAATTTTTTTTGGTCATTATTATGGTCACATTCCTTTTCCATTATTTGAAAAGGTGTTCTGTATGAACAACACCATTGGATAATGATGGATGCAAAATAATCAATCACTGGATAATTGGTGATCTGCTGTATATATTCATTGTAACACTCTTGTACATTATGATACACAATGCATCTTCTACTATAATCTTTACCTTCACCATTTTATCAACTTTGCTATATTCACTAGTCAGATGCATAATCTACCCAATTACCTAGCACCTACAATCACTACATCTACCAACTATGCATATTCTACTGCATTACCCACACTCATCATTCAGTCATATAATCTACCCCATCATCTTACAACATTCACTAAAACTACCAGACAATTACATAGTTTACTCCATTACCTTTATCAACATAAGATTAACATCCTTCAATCTCCAAACATGCATTTAACATGTCATTGCACTTTCAGAAATCAGCAAGCACCTCTGATAACATCTAAACCCCAAACGGTTTGCACTTTCCTATTGTTGCATCTATTTCTTTAGTTTTACTCTCATGACTTTTTTTTTTTATTAACACTGGCCATTTCCCACCGAGGCAGGGTGACCTGAAAAAGAAGAAACACTTTCATCATCATTCACTCTATCACTGTCTTGCCAGAGGCATGCTGACACTTCTGTTCAAAACACCAAATGTTCAGACCAGGCTGCAATCCTGTAAATTAAATATCTGTCAACTTGTGCAATATATACAAAAGAGGAACCAGATTTGAACTTGCAACAACTAAATAAGGTATGTGAAAGTTAGGAGATGTATTACATACACTACTAATCAAAATAATGCAGTACAGGAAGGCAAAGCAAAACCCTGGGTATTAAAGAAATATATAAGAGAGCTTAGCTATTCACACCGGATTTACATTATGTGCCAGCTAACCAAACAATGCCTGTGAGGTATACTAATGAGATCATTATTACCATCAGAATCAACAAAATCACTACCAACATCATAATCTCCGACCTATTTCCTCCACTCTTGCAAACTGGGCAGCCAGACACCATAAATTGGTGAACGTGGGTTAGGACACTGATGGAGATAATCAAGACATAAGTACTCACCTTGTGAACGGTGTTTTGCCTGATATTCAACAGCTAGCTCAAGCAAGTAAACAGTTAGAGCTAGAAGATGATCTGTGGTGGATACTTCATTGAGAGCTTTATATAGCAGCATGAAGAGAACAGCATGGAAACTCCTGCAGGCAATTATTCTCTGAGGATCAGTGTATGGACTAGTAACATTGCCTGGCAAACGGAATGGTGGCCACAGGTTTCCCGAGCTGCTCATCTTCCCAGACTGTTTGCAGCTGTAATGATTTATGCTTTTTTTTCACAATTTGTCAAAGAAAACATTAAATAGGAAGCAAATATTTAGTAGCTATTGCAACCTATAGTTTTTATTACTGTTTTTACTTAATAAATCTTTCATACAAAATCACAAATTACAAATTAGGATGCTTATTTATTCTAAGAAAATAAAAGAGATTTATTAATCAAAGAAAATATAATCTGATTTACTAGACCCAAAATGCACTACAGTACTTCTATATCCATTGTCTTATGAATGCAAGTATATCAGTCAGAAGAGAATTATTTAGGAAAAAAGACCATGTGAATTTCTTCCACTGTGCTCCTGGCTCAAAATTAACAACAGCCATATAATGTAAGTGGCAGGCAGATAGAAAATTTGAAGGATTATGAAAATTAAAGTATTGAGATACTTGGGACTGGAAGTGTTGGCAGATGATCCATGAAAAACCAGGTGAACCACAGGAGGGACAAGGGTAAAATAGGTAGGTTCTCTTGCTTGATCAAATGGTTGGATTACAACTTCTATTCTTTACCAGTTAAGTTTTTTAAATTTCTCCATAGTTATAGTAATTTATGAGCTTGTTGCTGAGACTACTGTTACATTCAGTGTGGAAGGTACTGGGACAAGGTCACACCTAGTCCCATACAAAAATGTTAAAAGATGGATTTTAAAGAGAAAGTGACAAGTGACGTTGTCTTGCATTACATTTTAGAGGATCAACTTACACTACGTTCAAAGGTGGTGAGGCATTCTCTGAAATTTGCGTTATTCTTTTTTTTTTAAATCAGACACCTCTTTACTCATGCATATGAAGACTATCAATTAAAAAGAAGAAAATACATACACACACACACACCACATAAACACAAGTATTTAAAATGCTTACAAGAGCTTAAATCTGTCCAGAGAGGCCTGAAAATCTCTTCTTTGCACTGCCCGTAGAAGTATATAAATAGGATCATAAAGATTTTCCCATACTTCATCTCGTGGTATATACATCCCTTGTTGCATTGTCCCTGAAGCTTCAAAATTAGGTGCTCTATATGAAGACACCTGCGTGTATAAATACAAACAACAAACGTTTTAAGTTATACCTCACTTGAAGCTTTGATGCAATGTCTTTATAGAACATTATTAGGAGTATTGACATGATGGGCTAAACAATGCCACAAAATATTTAATATTTTCAGGAAGAGCTATTTTAAATAGAGCAGATACTACACAATTTACCTTATTTAATACAGCCTCAAAATCTCTGCTCTGAGCTGCACTACCGCACTTCTCCGGCATGAATTCCATCAGCTGAGAATGAGTTTTATCTCCCATACACAGCAAAGTAACCATCTCTAACTGAGCAAGTTCACTTTCACTTAAACCTGTGGAAAATCAAAAGAAAAGACACTTGGACAATGAATTTGTCACATTTCCAACAGTGAGTTTATGATTGCAGCATCCTAAATAAATAGAATTAAAGCAAAAACTGTAAAAATCACATCTATGACCTATTGAAAAAATAAACACACATTCTCTGATAGTACAGGGTCAAGTGCAAACAGTTTAGAAGTATATATGTATAAAAATACACAATATATCCCTTCAAACTGCCAATATCCCAAACCCCTCCTTTAGAGTGCAGGCACTGTACTTCCCATTTCCAGGACTCAAGTCCGGTTATATAAAATAACCGATTTCCCTGAATCCCTCCACTAAATATTACCCTGCTCACACTCCAACAGCTCGTCAGGTCCCAAATACCATTCATCTCCATTCACTAACACGCTCACGCACTCTTGCTGGAAGTCCAAACCCCTCGCCCACAACACCTCCTTTACCCCCTCCCTCCAACCTTGTCAAGGACGACCCCTACCCCGCCTTCCTTCCCCTACAGATTTATACGCTCTCCATGTCATTCTACTTTGATCCATTCTCTCTAAATGACCAAACCACCTTAACAAACCCTCTTCAGCCCTCTGACTAATGCTTTTATTAACTCCACACCTTCTCCTAATTTCCACACTCCGAATTTTCTGCATAATATTTACGCCACACATTGCCCTTAGACAGGACATCTCCACTGCCTCCAACTGCCTCCTTGCTGCAACAAGAGGAAAAAAAACTTATAAAATATTTCCAACTGTACATATTTTTTTTTGATGCAGCAGAAGAGATGCATTGTATTTGTAAGAATTACAGGTTGATGGCAGGTGAGTTTTCTAGTGTAACAGAAAACACTATGAGAATGAGATAGCAAAAAGAAAAAATCCCAGCAAAAGCTTGCATTATGCAAATCAAATAATACAGCCAGTACATTGAAGAGTCATTCATTAATTAAAAAATGACCCCTGGATTTCTAATAAAATTTATACTCAAAAGAATCACCCGGATTTATTACTGAATAATAATAATGTGCAGCATTTTAAGCTATTACAAAACATTACAAGTTTGATGAACATCTGCTGAAGCAGTACAGTATTCTCTATTTATTTATAAATGCACAGATGCAGCATAAAAAAAAAATTGTAAAATATGTAAGGTATCCTACTAGCTGAAATGTCAACACAACGGGAATATTTGTAGTAGGAAAATAACAGCAAACCAATTACCAATATTAGTCCTAACAGTCATTAGTGTGGCCAGGAAAGTTAGGCATGACTCCAAGATAGTCATCTCATGCTCTGAGTCCAAGAAACTGTTGGATGCCCTCGGTGACACACTCAGAGACTCAAGAACGTGGAACCTGTAACAACAAAAATCCAAAATTAATTAATATACAAAATGCTTAGCTTTCAAGCATATTGAGGGCAATAAATATTAAACCACAACAGGAATGGCTGGGGGATGTTGTAGTCAAGAGGATAATCTAAATTGTGATGCCAGCATACTTGTGGCAAGACTGTGATTGTATAATGATGAATGCATTTACAGCACTGCAAATTTTTATTTACAGCGACCGTAAATATTATTTCTTTAAATGAAAAATAATACATAACTGACCAAACTAGTGAATAAGTCAGGAGGGCCCCTGCATATTCGACCCCCTGCTTTCTGGTGTTCCATGTTTTTGTCGACTTTCAGTTTAGCCTTTATTCATTACATTCAGTGCTTTTACCACTTTTCTGCCATTTTTGCACAACAGTTGCATAAGGGAAGGGCAACTAGTACCATATTTTAAGGTAAGTATTGTATGTACTGTATATTTATTTTACTTTATCTGTTTTTATATGCCTAGGTGTACTAAGCACTTAATATATGGTAGTATAAACATGTTACAAGGCATTTTCAATGCATTCAATAATGAATAAAAACACTCTTTTCCACCTGCCGGCTATTTTCATTTATCAGACAAGGTCAGGAACCAAAGAACCATACAAACAGGACCCTCCTGTAAAATGCTGAAAGTGCTATACTGTACCTGTCTAAAGCTGTCAAAATAAAATTGTCCGGAGGTAATTCCCCCGCACATATTTGTAAGAGGTAGAGGTCAGCATCCACCATGGAGTTGCAGAAGTGACACTGGATGTATGTCATAGCTTGGCCCTTGATCTGAAGACCATTACGCACCCACATGCCGCTTAAAATCTCGTAGAATGCAGCCTAAGTAAAGAAACATGAGAAACAAAAAAAATAAGCAGAAAATGGCTGAATATTAATAATATTAGTGGAAATATAACATGTACAGTAAACACTGCCATTATTAATTACTGATGAATACTCTTTCAACTAATATATATATATACTGATTAAGAGCTCTCAAAGCCCTGAGAATGGTACAGCCTCTTCTCACTTAACACTGCAGTTCCGTTCCTAAGACCACGTCAGTAAACGAATTCATTGCTAAGCAAGGAGCATACTATAATGGTAGTGGGTTAGTGTCAACCATCTTTGATATTGTTTTAATGTCACCTTTGCACCATTTATAACATTTTTAAATGTTTATACAGTAGTGTACTGTATATTATAATAAACAGAATAGCAGAAATCAGCTCTAATATACATTATTTAGGTATGCATACTGGTCAGAGAGTACATCGTAAGTCCGAGTCGTCGGTAAACAAGTATGCCGCTAAGTGAGGCGAAGCTGTATTAATATTTAGCAAGACACCCCGTAACAGTCTACCAAACATTACTTTTCTGAGTTCCTGCACATTGCTTCTGTTAAAGTCAGGCAGTGACTAGGCTATCAATCATGAGACTTGATGTGAGACTGGGTGCAGGGACAATGACTCCCAGAACCATCACTACAGTGACACAAGGTAGTGCTTTATTAAATTCCCATTAGTTGACAACATACAATACCATATACATGAAGACATGGTTATTCTACTGAACACTAACATGTAATGTAAATCTTTGGGTTCAACACAAATAATATTGTTTATTTCTTAGATAAAAACTGTGGTCCACACTTCTCTATCTGAAGCCTGGAAGAATTTTTATTTTTTTTACTGAAGTGTTTACTGCAAACTGATTTCTGATTTCTACATCATGTGCTTAAATTTTTAAGTAGCTGCTGATAGCATTTTTCATGACTAACTTCCACTTGGAAAAGGATGCATTATATGATGTTTCAGTCTGCCTTGGTCCATCATCGAGTCCTAAAGTTTCCTCTAAACGGTTATTTAGTTGTGAATTGTTCCAGCCACAGTGTTGTGCCTTATTCTTCTTCACAGAATCTTACCTATAATCTATTCTTCTTCACAAAATCTTACCTGTAATCTATTCTTCACAGAATCTTACCTGTAATCTAAGAGGATGAACCATAATAAGATGCAGCAAGTCCTGAGGAGGTAGAACTTCATCCAGCTGTGCACCTTGTGCCTTCACAGCCTGGCACATGAACACTGAATAATACCGATGTAGTGGAAGGTGAAAAGACACTTGGTATGGGTCCCCCTAGAAAAATAACACCATTAACCAAAATAATGGAGAGATTTTTTTTTCATCACAACTGCCATAACTGGGCCCTACCAGAGTTTACAATAGGATAATTTTACAAAGAGCACTTTAGTGACATAAATAACAAAAAAGGCACAATACCGTGACTGGAACGATACACAAATAACCCGCACATAAAAGAGAAAAGCTTACGACGACGTTTCGGTCCGACTTGGACCATTGACAAAGTCACTTTGTCAATGGTCCAAGTCGGACCGAAACGTCGTCGTAAGCTTCTCTCTTTTATGTGCGGGTTATTTGTGTACTTTAGTGACATGTTTGCATGAAAAGACCAACTGTGATCCTGCTGTTTGTAAAAATCATCCTATTGTAACCTCTCTAACCGAGTGATAACAGTGTTACACCAGCTAAATGTTCGGACCATGGTTGGAATCCAGAACAATTCTTCTGTTTATTTACCGACAGTCATTTATTACACTGATACCAATACTTTTATGTGGATATAAGGCATGGGTTTCAAACACTATGGGAAGAAAAAAGGTTAAAGGCAATGATGTCATGTTTGTGCTAGGGACTTGGCCATCCAGCAGGCTTGTGTGAGCATGTTAGATAGGAGTGATTTTTATGATTTGACATTCTGTTGAGAGTGTGAGCAAGACAACGTTTATGAAGGAATTTAGGAAAACTGGTTAGCTGGACTTGGGGTCTGGAAGTGGAAAGTACAGAAGCAAATTTATATTAACTGCATTTTGTCTCTTAACCCCCTAAAACTGTCAATTAAACTGAATGTGAAAATCTGATTAACACATACCAAATCAGAATATGAAAATCTGATTCATATCTCCAAATCAGAATATGAAAATCCGATTCTTCTTTCAACAAACCGATCATATCCCACCAAGGCAGGATGGCCCAAAAAGAAAAACGAAAGTTTCCCATTTTAAATTTAGTAATGTATACAGAAGGGGTTACTTGTCCCTTGCTTTGGTCATTTTAGTCACCTCTTACAACACGCATGGCTTATGGAGGAAGAATTCTGTTCCACTTCCCCATGGAGGCAAGAGAAAATCAACAAGAACTAGCAAGAAAATAAAAGAAAATCAGAGGGGTGTGTATAATATATGCTTGTACATGCATGCGTAGTGTGACCTAAGTGTAAGTAGAAGTAGCAAGACATACCTGAAATCTTGCATGTTTATGAGAAAGAAAAAAGACACCAGCAATCCTACCATAATGTAAAACAATTACAGGCTTTTGTTTTACACTCACTTGGCGGGACGGTAGTACTTCCCTGGGGGGTTGCTGTCTACCAACCTACTACCCAGAGAAAATATGATTCTTTCTTTCTTCTTTCAACACACCAGCCGTATCCCACCGAGGCAGGGTGACCCAAAAGGAAAAATGAAAGTTTCTCCTTTTCTTTCTTTCTTTCAACACACTAGCTGTATCCCACCAAGGCGGGGTGGCCCAAAAGGAAAAACGAAAGTTTCTCCTTTTCTTTTCTTTCTTTCAACACACTAGCTGTATCCCACCGAGGCGGGGTGGCCCAAAAGGAAAAACGAAAGTTTCTCCTTTTCTTTTCTTTCTTTCAACACACTAGCTGTATCCCACTGAGGCGGGGTGGCCCAAAAGGAAAAACGAAAGTTTCTCCTTTTACATTTAGTAATATATACAGGAGAAGGGGTTACTAGCCCCTTGCTCCCGGCATTTTAGTCGCCTCCTACAACACGCATGGCTTACAGAGGAAGAATTCTGTTCCACTTCCCCATGGAGGTAAGAGGAAACGAACAAGAACTAGAAAGAAAATAGAAGAAAACCCAAAGGGGTGTGTATATATGTGCTTCTACATGTATGTGTAGTGTGACCTAAGTGTAAGTAGAAGTAGCAAGACGTACCTGAAATCTTGCATGTTTATGAGACAGAAAAAAGGACACCAGCAATCCTACCATCATGTAAAACATTTACAGGCTTCTGTTTTACACTCACTTGGCAGGACAGTAGTACCTCCCTGGGCGGTTGCTGTCTACCAACCTACTACCCAGAGAAAATCTGATTCATACATACCAAATCACAATTTGAAAATCTGATTCATACACACCAAATCACATTGTGAAAATCTGATTCATAAACGCTAGATAACAGGGATATCTTGCTGCTCCTACTTACACTTTGGGTACACTTCACAGACACGCACATGCATATATATATACATACATCTAGGTTTTTCTCCTTTTTCTAAATAGCTCTTGTTCTTCTTTATTTCTTCTATTGTCCATGGGGAAGTGGAAAAGAATCTTTCCTCCGCAAGCCATGCGTGTCGTATGAGGCGACTAAAATGCCGGGAGCAATGGGCTAGTAACCCCTTCTCCTGTAGACATTTACTAAACAAGAGAAGAAGAAAAACTTTATAAAACTGGGATGCTTGAATGTGCGTGGATGTAGTATGGATGACAAGAAACGGATGATTGCTGATGTTATGAATGAAAAGAAGTTGGATGTCCTGGCCCTAAGCGAAACAAAGCTGAAGGGGGTAGGGGAGTTTCGGTGGGGGGAAATAAATGGGATTAAATCTGGAGTATCTGAGAGAGTTAGAGCAAAGGAAGGGGTAGCAGTAATGTTGAATGATCAGTTATGGAAGGAGAAAAGAGAATATGAATGTGTAAATTCAAGAATTATGTGGATTAAAGTAAAGGTTGGATGCGAAAAGTGGGTCATAATAAGCTTGTATGCACCTGGAGAAGAGAGGAATGTAGAGGAGAGAGAGAGATTTTGGGAGATGTAAAGTGAATGTATAGGAGCCTTTGAACCAAGTGAGAGAGTAATTGTGGTAGGGGACCTGAATGCTAAAGTAGGAGAAACTTTTAGAGAAGGTGTGGTAGATAAGTTTGGGGTGCCAGGTGCAAATGAAAATGGGAGCCCTTTGATTGAACTTTGTATAGAAAGGGGTTTAGTTATAGGTAATACATATTTTAAGAAAAAGAGGATAAATAAGTATACAAGATATGATGTAGGGCGAAATGACAGTAGTTTGTTGGATTATGTATTGGTAGACAAAAGACTGTTGAGTAGACTTCAGGATGTACATGTTTATAGAGGGGCCACAGATATATCAGATCACTTTCTAGTTGTAGCTACACTGAGAGTAAAAGGTAGATGGGATACAAGGAGAATAGAAGCATCAGGGAAGAGAGAGGTGAAGGTTTATAAACTAAAGGAGGAGGCATTTAAGGTAAGATATAAACAGCTATTGGAGGATAGATGGGCTAATGAGAGCATAGGCAATGGGGTCGAAGAGGTATGGGGTAGGTTTAAAAATGTAGTGTTGGAGTGTTCAGGAGAAGTTTGTGGTTACAGGAAGGTGGGTGCGGGAGGGAAGAGGAGTGATTGGTGGAATGATGATGTAAAGAGAGTAGTAAGGGAGAAAAAGTTAGCATATGAGAAGTTTTTACAAAGTAGAAGTGATGCAAGGAAGGAAGAGTATATGGAGAAAAAGAGAGAGGTTAAGAGAGTAGTGAAGCAATGTAAAAAGAGAGCAAATGAGAGAGTGGGTGAGATGTTATCAACAAATTTTGTTGAAAATAAGAAAAAGTTTTGGAGTGAGATTAACAAGTTAAGGAAGCCTAGAGAACAAATGGATTTGTCAGTTAAAAATAGGAGAGGAGAATTATTAAATGGAGAATTACAGGTATTGGGAAGATGGAGGGAATATTTAGAGGAATTGTTAAATGTTTATGAAGATAGGGAAGCTGTGATTTCTTGTAGGAGTGAGGAAGAGCCAGTTGTGAGTGTGGGGAAGTTCGTGAGGCAGTAGGTAAAATGAAAGGGGGTAAGGCAGCCAGGATTGATGGGATAAAGATAGAAATGTTAAAAGCAGGTGGGGATATAGTTTTGGAGTGGTTGGTGCAATTATTTAATAAATGTATGGAAGAAGGTAAGGTACCTAGGGATTGGCAGAGAGCATGCATAGTTCCTTTGTATAAAGGCAAAGGGGACAAAAGAGAGTGCAAAAATTATAGAGGGATAAGTCTGTTGAGTATACCTGGTAAAGTGTATGGTAGAGTTATTGTTAGGTAAGACACATACGCAACAGTTAGACAACTTTATTCCGAAACGTTTCGCCTACACAGTAGGCTTCTTCAGTCGAATACAGAAAATAGGCAGGAACAGTAGAGATGTGAAGACGATGTAATCAGTCCATCACCCTTGTAGTCGTAGAATTTGAGGTTGTCAGTCCCTCGGCCTGGAGAAGTTCAGTTCCATAGTCAGGAACTATCTGAAGATCAAGCGACAGTGCGGAGACTTAAATACTGTCGGAAGGAGAGGTGCAGAGTAGTAGTAGTAGTAGTAGTAGTGAGAATGTGACCACTGAGAGGTCATGTCCCTCTCAGATCCAACCCTTCTCACTTGAAAAGCTTGTCCAAGGTGTTTTTTGTACCAAGATGCCATGTGTTGCAGTGTCTGACGAGATGAACATCAAAATGGTATACAATACCGACAGGTTGTTAGGTAAGACACATACGCAACAGTTAGACAACTTTATTCCGAAACGTTTCGCCTACACAGTAGGCTTCTTCAGTCGAATACAGAAAATGGGCAGGAACAGTAGAGATGTGAAGACGATGTAATCAGTCCATCACCCTTGTAGTCGTAGAATTTGAGGTTGTCAGTCCCTCGGCCTGGAGAAGTTCAGTTCCATAGTCAGGAACTATCTGAAGATCAAGCGACAGTGCGGAGACTTAAATACTGTCGGAAGGAGAGGTGCAGAGTAGTAGTAGTAGTAGTAGTAGTGAGAATGTGACCACTGAGAGGTCATGTCCCTCTCAGATCCAACCCTTCTCACTTGAAAAGCTTGTCCAAGGTGTTTTCTGTACCAAGATGCCATGTGTTGCAGTGTCTGACGAGATGAACATCAAAATGGTATACAATACCGACAGGTTGTTAGGTAAGACACATACGCAACAGTTAGACAACTTTATTCCGAAACGTTTCGCCTACACAGTAGGCTTCTTCAGTCGAATACAGAAAATAGGCAGGAACAGTAGAGATGTGAAGACGATGTAATCAGTCCATCACCCTTGTAGTCGTAGAATTTGAGGTTGTCAGTCCCTCGGCCTGGAGAAGTTCAGTTCCATAGTCAGGAACTATCTGAAGATCAAGCGACAGTGCGGAGACTTAAATACTGTCGGAAGGAGAGGTGCAGAGTAGTAGTAGTAGTAGTACTAGTGAGAATGTGACCACTGAGAGGTCATGTCCCTCTCAGATCCAACCCTTCTCACTTGAAAAGCTTGTCCAAGGTGTTTTCTGTACCAAGATGCCATGTGTTGCAGTGTCTGACAAGATGAACATCAAAATGGTATACAATACCGACAGGTTGTTAGGTAAGACACATACGCAACAGTTAGACAACTTTATTCCGAAACGTTTCGCCTACACAGTAGGCTTCTTCAGTCGAATACAGAAAATAGGCAGGAACAGTAGAGATGTGAAGACGATGTAATCAGTCCATCACCCCTGTAGTCGTAGAATTTGAGGTTGTCAGTCCCTCGGCCTGGAGAAGTTCAGTTCCATAGTCAGGAACTATCTGAAGATCAAGCGACAGTGCGGAGACTTAAATACTGTCGGAAGGAGAGGTGCAGAGTAGTAGTAGTAGTAGTAGTAGTGGTGAGAATGTGACCACTGAGAGGTCATGTCCCTCTCAGATCCAACCCTTCTCACTTGAAAAGCTTGTCCAAGGTGTTTTCTGTACCAAGATGCCATGTGTTGCAGTGTCTGACGAGATGAACATCAAAATGGTATACAATACCGACAGGTTGTTAGGTAAGACACAGATAGTTTCTGACTATGGAACTGAACTTCTCCAGGCCGAGGGACTGACAACCTCAAATTCTACGACTACAAGGGTGATGGACTGATTACATCGTCTTCACATCTCTACTGTTCCTGCCTATTTTCTGTATTCGACTGAAGAAGCCTACTGTGTAGGCGAAACGTTTCGGAATAAAGTTGTCTAACTGTTGCGTATGTGTCTTACCTAACAACCTGTCGGTATTGTATACCATTTTGATGTTCATCTCGTCAGACACTGCAACACATGGCATCTTGGTACAGAAAACACCTTGGACAAGCTTTTCAAGTGAGAAGGGTTGGATCTGAGAGGGACATGACCTCTCAGTGGTCACATTCTCACTACTACTACTACTACTACTACTCTGCACCTCTCCTTCCGACAGTATTTAAGTCTCCGCACTGTCGCTTGATCTTCAGATAGTTCCTGACTATGGAACTGAACTTCTCCAGGCCGAGGGACTGACAACCTCAAATTCTACGACTACAAGGGTGATGGACTGATTACATCGTCTTCACATCTCTACTGTTCCTGCCTATTTTCTGTATTCGACTGAAGAAGCCTACTGTGTAGGCGAAACGTTTCGGAATAAAGTTGTCTAACTGTTGCGTATGTGTCTTACCTAACAACCTGTCGGTATTGTATACCATTTTGATGTTCATCTCGTCAGACACTGCAACACATGGCATCTTGGTACAGAAAACACCTTGGACAAGCTTTTCAAGTGAGAAGGGTTGGATCTGAGAGGGACATGACCTCTCAGTGGTCACATTCTCACTACTACTACTACTACTACTACTCTGCACCTCTCCTTCCGACAGTATTTAAGTCTCCGCACTGTCGCTTGATCTTCAGATAGTTCCTGACTATGGAACTGAACTTCTCCAGGCCGAGGGACTGACAACCTCAAATTCTACGACTACAAGGGTGATGGACTGATTACATCGTCTTCACATCTCTACTGTTCCTGCCTATTTTCTGTATTCGACTGAAGAAGCCTACTGTGTAGGCGAAACGTTTCGGAATAAAGTTGTCTAACTGTTGCGTATGTGTCTTACCTAACAACCTGTCGGTATTGTATACCATTTTGATGTTCATGGTAGAGTTATTATTGAAAGAATTAAGAGTAAGATGGAGAATAGGATAGCAGATGAACAAGGAGGCTTTAGGAGAGGTAGGGGGTGGGTGGACCAGGTGTTTACAGTGAAACACATAAGTGAACAGTATTTAGATAAGGCTAAAGAGGTCTTTGTGGCATTTATGGATTTGGAAAAGGCGTATGACAGGGTGGATAGGGAGGCAATGTGGCAGATGTTGCAGGTGTATGGTGTAGGAGGTAGGTTACTGAAAGCAGTGAAGAGTTTTTATGAGGATAGCGAGGCTCAAGTTAGAGTATGTAGGAAAGAGGGAAATTATTTCCCAGTAAAAGTAGGCCTTAGACAAGGATGTGTGATGTCACCGTGGTTGTTTAATATATTTATAGATGGGGTTGTAAGAGAAGTAAATGCGAGGGTCTTGGCAAGAGGTGTGGGGTTAAAAGATAAAGAATCACACAAAGTGGGAGTTGTCACAGTTGCTCTTTGCTGATGACACTGTGCTCTTGGGAGATTCTGAAGAGAAGTTGCAGAGATTGGTGGATGAATTTGGTAGGGTGTGCAAAAGAAGAAAATTAAAAGTGAATACAGGAAAGAGTAAGGTTATGAGGATAACAAAAAGATTAGGTGATGAAAGATTGGATATCAGATTGGAGGGAGAGAGTATGGAGGAGAATGTATTCAGATATTTGGGAGTGGACGTGTCAGCAGATGGGTCTATGAAAGATGAGGTGAATCATAGAATTGATGAGCGGAAAAGGGTGAGTGGTGCACTTAGGAGTCTGTGGAGACAAAGAACTTTGTCCTTGGAGGCAAAGAGGGGAATGTATGAGAGTATAGTTTTACCAACGCTCTTATATGGGTGTGAAGCATGGGTGATGAATGTTGCAACGAGGAGAAGGCTGGAGGCAGTGGAGATGTCATGTCTGAGGGCAATGTGTGGTGTGAATATAATGCAGAGAATTCGTAGTTTGGAAGTTAGGAGGAGGTGCGGGATTACCAAAACTGTTGTCCAGAGGGCTGAGGAAGGGTTGTTGAGGTGGTTCGGACATGTGGAGAGAATGGAGCGAAACAGAATGACTTCAAGAGTGTATCAGTCTGTAGTGGAAGGAAGGCGGGGTAGGGGTCGGCCTAGGAAAGGTTGGAGGGAGGGGGTAAAGGAGGTTTTGTGTGCAAGGGGCTTGGACTTCCAGCAGGCATGCGTGAGCGTGTTTGATAGGAGTGAATGGAGACAAATGGTTTTTAATACTTGACGTGCTGTTGGAGTGTGAGCAAAGTAACATTTATGAAGGGGTTCAGGGAAACCGGCAGGCCGGACTTGAGTCCTGGAGATGGGAAGTACAGTGCCTGCACTCTGAAGGAGGGGTGTTAATGTTGCAGTTTAAAAACTGTAGTGTAAAGCACCCTTCTAGCAAGACAGTGACGGAGTGAATGATGGTGAAAGTTTTTCTTTTTCGGGCCACCCTGCCTTGGTGGCCACCCTGCCTTGGTGGGCCACCCTGCCTTGGTGGGAATCGGCCAGTGTGATAATAATAATAGTAACATACTAAATCACATCGTAAAAATCTGCTTCATAAATATCAAATCAGAATGTGAAAATCTGATTCATACATGCTAAATCAAAATGTGAAAATCTAATTCATACATACCAAATCAGAATGTGAAAATCCAACAGCAGTAAACCAATTGTTAAGAGCATGAAGACATTCTTTAAGTACTGAGAATGTGTAGTGGCGGGTTTCAGAGTCACGCAGATGAGAGACAAGAGCCCACATGGGGGAGGCAGAGGCTTCTAGTTCTGCACTGAATGCTGCATAATATGTCTGAGGTTCAAATTCAACGTGCTGTGTTAACTCTCGTACATTGACATTCATCCCTGTAAGAAAGGTACCACTTTCATTAATGTTAGGGATGTGCTATTTCTCTAATTACGCAAGATTTCCATTATTTTAGGACACACAGTCGTAAGTGATTGATACAGCCATTTTATTTTTAACACGAGCTGCATGATTTGTATGGGACGATCTGGTCATCCTAAACAAATGGAACTCCAGTAAAAAAAAAAAGGTAACAGTATCTGAATGATTTATTATCAATATAAAACACTGAAAAACTGCAAGGAAATAAATATTTGGAGCTATTATCTTGACATGCGATATCCACATTGTGGTGTGGCATCTGCAAGTTCTCCAAGCAATGGTGAACAAGCATGAGCAGCTATGTACACATGTACCTCCCTGGTAAGAAAAAAATAAACAGTTCTAAACAGTGCATTCAGCAAGTGATGCTAAATATATCAACATGAAGCACTACCGAGTCAGGTGTCACCCTATCAATTTTATTCTGTCTTACCGGACAAACAATATCACTAAGTTACCATTAATGCAGGAGAGAATGAAAACTAGTAAAATATTTAATAGGCCATCAACAACAGGACATATACTGATTTATCTCCCTTCAAAACAAAGTGGTAGAGAAAACTTAAATGTGGGAAGCTACTGCTAGACACATTTATATGCCAACATTTTGGTATAAATGTTTTTTTTTTTTTTTTTTTTTTTTTTTTTTTCAACAAGTCGGCCGTCTCCCACCGAGGCAGGGTGACCCAAAAAAGAAAGAAAATCCCCAAAAAGAAAATACTCTCATCATCATTCAACACTTTCACCACACTCGCACACTATCACTGTTTTCGCAGAGGTGCTCAGAATACAACAGTCCAGAAGCATAAACATATAAAGATACACAACACATCCCTCCAAACTGCCAATATCCCAAACCCCTCCTTTAAAGTGCAGGCATTGTACTTCCCATTTCCAGGACTCAAGTCCGACTATATGAAAATAACCGGTTTCCCTGAATCCCTTCACTAAATATTACCCTGCTCACACTCCAACAGATCGTCAGGTCCCAAGTACCATTCGTCTCCATTCACTCCTATCTAACACGCTCACGCACGCTTGCTGGAAGTCCAAGCCCCTTACCCACAAAACCTCCTTTACCCCCTCTCTCCAACCCTTTCGAGGACGACCCCTACCCCGCCTTCCTTCCCCTATAGATTTATATGCTTTCCATGTCATTCTACTGTGATCCATTCTCTCTAAATGACCAAACCACCTCAACAACCCCTCTTCTGCCCTCTGACTAATACTTTTATTAACTCCACACCTTCTCCTAATTTCCACACTCCGAATTTTCTGCATAATATTTACACCACACATTGCCCTTAAACAGGACATCTCCGCTGCCTCCAACCGTCTCCTCGCTGCTGCATTTACCACCCAAGCTTCACACCCATATAAGAGTGTTGGTACTACTATACTTTCATACATTCCCTTCTTTGCCTCCATAGATAACGTTTTTTGACTCCACATATACCTCAACGCACCACTCACCTTTTTTCCCTCATCAATTCTATGATTAACCTCATCCTTCATAAATCCATCCGCCGACACGTCAACTCCCAAGTATCTGAAAACATTCACTTCTTCCATACTCCTCCTCCCCAATTTGATATCCAATTTTTCTTTATCTAAATCATTTGACACCCTCATCACCTTACTCTTTTCTATGTTCACTTTCAACTTTCTACCTTTACACACATTCCCAAACTCATCCACTAACCTTTGCAATTTTTCTTTAGAATCTCCCATAAGCACAGTATCATCAGCAAAAAGTAACTGTGTCAATTCCCATTTTGAATTTGATTCCCCATAATTTAATCCCACCCCTCTCCCAAACACCCTAGCATTTACTTCCTTTACAACCCCATCTATAAATATATTAAACAACCATGGTGACATTACACATCCCTGTCTAAGACCTACTTTTACCGGGAAGTAGTCTCCCTCTCTTCTACACACCCTAACCTGAGCCTCACTATCCTCATAAAAACTCTTTACAGCATTTAATAACTTACCACCTATTCCATATACTTGCAACATCTGCCACATTGCTCCTCTATCCACTCTATCATATGCCTTTTCTAAATCCATAAATGCAATAAAAACTTCCCTATCTTTATCTAAATACTGTTCACATATATGCTTCAATGTAAACACCTGATCTACACATCCCCTACCCACTCTAAAACCTCCTTGCTCATCCGCAATCCTACATTCTGTCTTACCTCTAATTCTTTCAATTATAACCCTACCGTACACTTTTCCTGGTATACTCAGTAAGCTTATTCCTCTATAATTTTTACAGTCTCTTTTGTCCCCTTTCCCTTTATATAAAGGGACTATACATGCTCTCTGCCAATCCCTAGGTACCTTCCCCTCTTTCATACATTTATTAAACAAAAGTACCAACCACTCCAACACTATATCCCCCCCTGCTTTTAACATTTCTGTCATGATCCCATCAGTTCCAGCTGCTTTACCCCCTTTCATTTTACGTAATGCCTCACGTACCTCCCCCACACTTACATTCTGCTCTTCTTCACTCCTAAAAGATGGTATACCTCCCTGACCAGTGCATGAAATTACTGCCTCTGTTTCTTCCTTAACATTTAAAAGTTCCTCAAAATATTCTCGCCATCTACCCAATACCTCCATCTCCCCATCTACTAACTCCCCTACTCTGTTTTTAACTGACAAATCCATATTTTCCCTAGGCTTTCTTAACTTGTTTAACTCACTCCAAAATTTTTTCTTATTTTCATTAAAATTTCTTGACAGTGCCTCTCCCACTCTATCATCTGCTCTCCTTTTGCACTCTCTCACCACTCTCTTTACCTTTCTTTTACTCTCCATATACTCTGCTCTTCTTATAACACTTCTGCTTTGTAAAAACCTCTCATAAGCTACCTTTTTCTCTTTTATCACACCCTTTACTTCATCATTCCACCAATCACTCCTCTTTCCTCCTGCCCCCACCCTCCTATAACCACAAACTTCTGCCCCACATTCTAATACTGCATTTTTAAAACTATAAATGTCACTGTTCAAATAAACTATGGCATTTACTTTGATCTTCTATCCTCAAATAAAACTGACAAATTATCTGTTATTTTAATTAACTTACCTTGAAACATCGACAAAAAAGAGAACCATTCTTGAATGAGTCTCGGGTCGCTCATAAACTTAACAGCAATTGGCTTGTGTGATAGAACATTATTAAGGTCAGACACCAATGGCCAGTAACAATGATTCTTCATAACATGGTCAGCACAGTTCACAACCCTGTGAGAATTCCGCAGCTTATCTGTGTGAGAAGAACCAAGCTATAATAAACAGAGAGATACTTATGAATACTATTCTTTAATATTAAAACACAGTGTATGAAAAAAAGAGGTAACACTGACAGTGTCAGCAGTAGCTGGCAGTTGTCACAGATGGGCAGCTGCTCAAAAATAATAGCAAGGTGCTGCTTAAGAATTTACCAATAAATACAAGCCATTAAGAAAAAAAAAAAAACAGGTGCAGAGCAAGCTCTTGTCGTGACAATGCTTTCTCTACGTAGAGAACAGATGCTCTACATCCGTGTCTTTTCTTCATTACTGTTGGCAGTATGCCTGTGTATCCAAGCACAAACTATGCTGTCTCCAAATATTCTCCTGGGAAACAATTATATCATTTGTATTTGGAGACAAAGGAAGGGGTACCATTTACTTTAATAGCATGATTGGTTATAAATACACTTTATATAATCAGCTCATTGCCCAGGAAAATAAGAAGCTCTACACACAAATCAATCAAATGAAATGACCGACAATTCTAACTCAAATGATCATAATATATCACTGATACAACGTCAATATTTTGTATCAACGATTCTAACTGCCAAATGGGTTAGCAGAGATTATGTAATGTCCCTTAAACACCTAAGAGGTGTAAATTTGTGTTGAAAGTGGTGTTTAGCCCAATGAGGAAGTGAGTAAAAAATCTCACTTAATCCAACTTTTTAGAACCAATCACTTAAAAATAATTATTTGATAGGAACAGATAAGAGCTAAAACAATGATTAACTTGAAATTCAGTTTAATACATATATATATAACAAACTGGTTAGTAGTAATGCATAGCAAAGGAAAAACAAACTGGAACACAATAAAACATTACAATTTAAACTAAGAAACAAAACAAATAAGAGGGACTATTCATTACTTTTATGATATATTAAACACTGAAGATGAGACAGCAAAAATAGTTCTGCTCCTGCAACTATAGATAGGTTAACATAAATATAAAATTATACACAGAAGTATGTTCTTCATGAACACTCTTTGGTTCTTAAATATATCAAGCAGATTCCACGCCTCACTAACACTATATATACACAAATAACCCATACATAAGAGAAAGAAACTTATGATGATGTTTCAGTCTGACTTAGACCATTAACTAGTTGATGGTCCAAGTCAGACCAAAACGTGGATTATTTGTGTATTGTTCCAGTAGAGTACAGTGGACCCCCGCATAACGATTACCTCCGAATGTGACCAATTATGTAAGTGTATTTATGTAAGTGCGTTTGTACGTGTATGTTTGGGGGTCTGAAATGGACTAATCTACTTCACAATATTCCTTATGGGAACAAATTCAGTCAGTACTGGCACCTGAACATACTTCTGGAGTGAAAAAATATCGTTAACCGGGGGTCCACTGTATTATCTTTTTATTCTTTAATGCTGTACATCTTTAGCTGCAGCCTTTCCTTCTATACCTGTCATGCCTTATTAAATCCTTTCCAAAATATTCAAAATGCTTTCCAAAACATTTAAAATGAAACATAATAAACAACATAGGTATAATGAGAATTTATATTTACCAGGAATATACTGTATATTTAAAGGACACTATTTCACTTTTAATTTTTAGTGCATTTTAATGATCATTTTATATAATACGTCTGGAAGAAACTTACCCAAAGTAAATTACATAAAATTCCTGCAATACAAAATACTGTCATGCTTGACATAAATATTTCCCAGTACAGTGGACCCCCGCATAACGATTACCTCCGAATGCGACCAATTATGTAAGTGTATTTATGTAAGTGCGTTTGTACGTGTATGTTTGGGGGACTGAAATGGACTAATCTACTTCACAATATTCCTTATGGGAATAAATTCGGTCAGTACTGGCACCTGAACATACTTATGGAGTGAAAAAATATCGTTAACCGGGGGTCCACTGTATTGTCATCTGGCACAAGAAACACACAGTCCATAACTGTAATGACAATCATGCTTGACACAAAAATAATATCACCAGTATTATGTGACACATGACACATGCACATTTCATACTTGCAATGATATTCTATCTTGCTTGACACAAAATTCCACTTTTCCAGTATTATCACCTATGACAATGAAACATGCACAGTGCATTCCATATAATGTGTACACATCCTCAGCCTATCAGCAACAAAAATAAAATAAAAACCCTCCCTGTGGCATAATTCGGAATTTCAACATGATTTTGTTGTGGTCACAAAGTGAAAAAAAAAAAATCTATTAAGAACCCATAAAATATTTATGATTCTTTTAATGACTGACAACTGTTATGGAAAAGCCAAAATGAGTGAACATGAACTCTAGTCAAAACAGAAACATGTTCTGAAATGACTTCATCCATATTTGTTGATACTGTACACTCTATTACAATCTTACTTTTAAAGAAGTACAGTATCTTGAATGTTTATTGTCAAATACAGAATGTTTATTGTATAATACTATACACAAACCAAAAACCAACGGGGGGGGGGATGTCAAGGAAGAGATTTGTTTGATTGGAGCAGAACTTAATATTGTCAAAAAGGTTCCAAAACATTTATATACAAAATTTAACTGCGAGGATTTAAAAAAAAACTCACGTATATGGTTATATAATAAGCATTTTCTGGAAAGAAATATTTTGGGTATCACAGGAGCACTGGCCAAAATTCTTTTGAATGTAAAAATTATGTAAAGCTATAGATACTATAATTTCTCCATATACGGCATGCTGAAGTGTCTAGTGGCTGGTCTGGACAAGGTAAACACTTTGGTGGCAATGACTTACGGTATAAGAAATTTCAGAAAAATGCTGAAACAATCCATCAGGGTGAACATATGAAATACAGTTTTTGTGAATCATGAGTATAGATGCCTTACATCACAAGAACAGGAAACTGTCATATGCAAACTGAATACAGTAATACCCCAGTTGTCGTCCTTAATCCGTTCCAGAAAGTTGGCTGAAATCCGATATGGACAAAAACCGAAGTAATATTTCCCATATGAAATAATGTAAATCCAATTAATCCGTTTCAAACACCCAAATGTATTAACTAAAAATACATGTTATAGAGAATACAGAAAACAATAAGAAATAAATAAAAATGACTAATTTTAATGATAAATGAACATTACATACCTTTACTGAAGACTCTTGTTGGAGTATGGAAGGTGAGGAGGGGAGAGGAAGTTGAGGTTATTGTTTGGAAGGGAAATCCCCCTCCATATGGATTTCAGTCTTCAGGTATCAAAGCCCTATCCAGAGTTACTTCCCTTCTTTGTCTTTTACTGGCACTAGGACCAGCTTGAGAGTCACTGCACCCGTCAAACAAAAAATCTGTCCAGAGAGGCCTGTTTCTGGGTCTCGAAGATTAGCCTAAAATGGGACAAGACACTGCCACTGAACATGTTGCAGACACGGCTTGCAACAGTTTTGTTAGGGTGATAATTCTCCGCAAAACTTAGCACCTCACTCCACTTTGCACAAATGTCCTGAATCACTGAAGAAGGCACATTCTCCCCTCTCTATTCCTCCTCCTCTGAAGCAATTTTCCCAGCTGCAAGCTGTTGCTGTTGCAGTTGAAGATCTTGCAGCTCTTCAGTGGTTACCTCTTCCCTGTGGTCCTCCACCAACTCTACAACATCCTGGTCACTCACATCCAACCCCATGGACTTCCCCAAAGACACAGTAGATTCCACAACAGATGTAGGGTCATCAGGGTCAGCCTCAAACCCTTCAAAATCCTTCTCTTGGACACATTCTGGCCACAATTTTCTACAAGTTCTTTCTTGAGTTCGATTGTTTTTCTCACCCTCTTTAACAAAGGGCTGGCACTCTGTACTTTCTATGGCCCCATGGTGGCTTATTTCGTAGTCACAATCAATAAACAAGCACAAAAAATGGATGAATGCGCAAAGTATTGCTAACTCAATGAGAGACAAGAGGCAGACTGAGTCTGGTACGAGTGAGAAGCGGCATCCCAGGTGGGTGGACGTGTCTGATATGGACGATTTTCAAGCGGATGTACGAAACCTGGGGGAAAATTTCGCTGAAAAATGTGCTCGAAATCCAGATTGTATGATTTCCGCACCGGACGAAAACTGGGAGTCCACTGTACAGTAGTCCCCCCGTATCCACAGGAGATATGTTCTAATACCTACTAAGTTGAGAATTAGTACTTTTTCACTGATGGGAAGCACTTCCTGGCTTCTCTTAGGCTTGGAAGAACTACCACCATCACTACCTTTGCTCTTTGGGCCATCATTAAGCAAAATTAAGGTTATTTTCGGACCACGGTAAACCACGGATACCAGACCTACAGATATGAGGGTCCTACTGTACTAGAAAAAGTTTATGACTGGCTTAGAGAATCAATTTTTGAAGGGTTAGAAATAGCACTATTTTCTGACACAATCAGTAGCTATGTACAGAAATAATTTTTATGCTTCTCACACACTATCTTATAGTACACAATGTTTTTTTCCCTGATGATTAGGCCATTAAGTAGGATTCCTTTCATTGTTTTCTGTTCAATCCAAACACTTAATATCTTTTCAGTAGTATTAAGCTGCAATGACCTATTTCTCATTCTTTCCAGTCTGCCACATTGTGGATCACTTATTGCATAAACTCTTATCTTCACCTCATTCTCTCAAGTTGAGCAAATTGTTGATTCACTAGCACCACCCTCATGCAGTCTCTATAACCTGCACACCATCCTTCACCATAACAATCACTTCCAATTTTGTCAAAATAGACACAGTCTCTTGCTTAAATTTCAACTTGGCACCTTCAGCACCACTAGTGTGTCTTTTAGATGCTATAAATTTTAATGTCCAGAGGCAAGATGCAGTGATGAAAAAATGAAATAAAAGGACAAATAAACACAAGTTAGAGTACAGTGTGGGATACACAGAGAAGGCAACCGACTGCATGGGTGGATGTTTACATTAAGGAGTAATGCTAGTCCTTCTCTTAAGATGATTCCCCTAACTATAAGCACATCAAAGCAGTTTTTTGCACAAGACTGTCATCCTGAACAAAAAATTTAAATGGCAAGATACTGAAAATTTGAGTTATGATGAAGTGACTAATTCAGTCTATTGATCATCTAAACGAACAATTGTTGCTACTTTTGCATATACGTCAAACAATTATTGCTACTTCTGCATATACATCAAACAATTACTGCCACTTTTGCATATACGTACAAGTAAGTATCGTCAAACAATTTAATGTTTAAAATTTGTTGCAAAAACAGATTTGTGTATATTTTTAAATGAAGTACGTACAGTATTATGCACACTTTCCCTCCCTCTCTGGGCCCTGGCCATTACTGAGGTCAGAATCAAAACTAAGCATAAATCATCTCAGAAATAGATTCAGAACTATTGATAACTCATGAACAAACCTTTTTTCTGTAGTTCTGAAAAATAATCGGAAAACATAAATCCAGTGTTGCCAACTAATGCCATAAAAAATTTAAAAGCTGGAACTAAAGTTTTAAATTTGGACACTTCATGGGAAACAGCTTTTTTTTATTATTCAGTGTCTCAGTTACAGAGCATAACCTTTACGATCTGCAAAAAAGTAAACTACGTCAGTTAAATTGAGGAGGAAATGCTCTGGGTGTAGCCAAAGTGTTAACTTTCTCAGGCATTTACTGCCTCATCAATCATCTTTTCATTTCTACCGAAAGCATAACACTGACAAATGGCAAACAGATAATTAAGTGAAATCTTTACTGACACAAATTTTCACCCAAGAGTGGGCTTTATCAAGTACTGTAGATGAATAAGATATATTATAAAGAATATATAGTACATGAGAGAGCCCACTAGTGGGAAAAACACAAATCAATAAAGAATTCACTGTACTAAATGTGAATCTTTATTCATTACTGTGGACACTAAGTACTGATAGCATTTGGAAAAAAAATCTATTTACGTAAGCATTAAATTTAGGCTCCTGATGATGAATATTAATTTAGGCTCCTGGTCATGAATATTAATTTAGTCTTCTGGTGATGAATATTAATTTAGGCTTCTGGTGAAGAATATTAATTCAGGCTCCTGATCATGAATATTAATTTAGGCTTCTTCTGAATATTAATTTAGGCTCCTAGTGATGAATATTAATTTGGGTCTCTGGCAATGAATATCAGTTTAGGCTCCTAGTGATGAATACTAATTTAGGCTCATAGTGATGAATGTTAATTTAGGCTTCTGGTGATGAATATCGATTTAGGCTCCTGGTGATGAATGTAAATTTAGGCTCCTGGTGATGCTAAAAACTTAACTCCTGGTAACTGAAACACAGGCAACTTGATCGATTCAGAATTTTAGCCAACAAAAAAGTTTATCTTACTGGCAGCAACTTGCAGAAGCCATTAAAAAGAGCTTGGGGTGATAATAAAGAGCATTTTTCAAGCATTTCGCTTATATTTTCTTTTCTGCCATATATAACCTTGTGAGTTATCCATTAATTTATTTAAAATGTAGAAAACACTAAAAAATTATTAAATCCAGAGAGGACACTCACTCAATTTAAAGAGATTGAACTGGCCTAACACGCAGCATATGTCACGCCCAGTCATGATGGGCACGTCACGGTTGTCTGTAATCAGACAAACATGAAAGGTTGTGATTGCATGGTGCCACAGTGACCTCTCAGCCTTGGGGCATGTAAGGTATTCTTTCAAGCACAGTAGTTGTCTCCCACCAAATCAAGGTGACAAAGAAACAAAAAACACATTCATAGTTACTTCTTCCTTAGATGTTTTTCCAGACAGGCACAGATGTCACAATTCAAATGGCTCATCCTACCAAAACATCACCTTACATCCACTGAAGTACACACATTGTATTTCCCCACTTCCAGAACTCAATAAGCAAACCAGTTTCCTCGAATCCCTTGTTCACATTTTATATCCCAGCAACCATTTGTCTACACTCTGCTCTAACGTGTCCACACATGCTTGCTGCAGCTCTACCTCTTGCAACAATCTTCACACTCTACTTCCATCTCTTCCTGGAAAGGCTTTTGCATCTATACCACCACCACTACAATTGTACCTCTACTAACTTTGCTGCTACTACTATGGTTACTGCAGCTAATTTTATGGCTACTACCCCCACCACTCCACTTACCTTCCACACTCACCCTACCTTATTATCTTTAAGTCTTCTATACTTTTCTCTCCCCAGTTATGATTTGACAACAGTTCAAGAGGAACTGAAAGACCATTATGAGGGTCCTTGCCTAAGTATGGTCTTTCGGTGAATTGTTTCAGCCACAGTATGGTCACTTTTTGTTCATCAATTATTCATTTCTTAGAGTCTGTACTATATATATATACACACATTCAAACCTAATATCAACATTTCTTTGTTCTTCTTTAAAGTAAATGCACAAATAAAAAGAAATTACTTGTTCCTTGTTCCCAGCATTTTAGTCGCTTCTACATCATGCATGATTTGTGGGAGAATTTCAACCCACTTATCCATGAAAATTATATATGCGCAATAGAACAGCCACTTTATTTTCAGTCTTTCATGCAAAAAAAAATTGTATAAAAGCAAAGCTCTGAATAAATCCAGGTGACTTAAAGTCACATACACTTCATATGCCACAACATCAATTTGCAAACAGTAAAATATGAAAAAAGCTATCAAGTCATATTATTTTTAAAACTGAAATTCCTACTTATAATGATTTATGCTTTCCCATGGTCACTGTTCTTATCGGTTCCCTTAATATATTATGTAGTCCCTCGTTTATCCTGTCAACTGCTTCTTACGAGTTATTAAATACTGCAATCTCTTGCTTTACATAGGTCTGTTGTAAGTAAATTTGATTTTATGCCTTACCCTGATCTGAAAGTAAGCCGTGGAGGCATTGACTCCTGGAAGCATCCTTCAGGTATCCTTCTACCCCATTTCCACTATTTATTCTCTATTTGGGAAGATGTAATGAAAATACCTTTAATAAAGAATTAAGTATTGATTACCTGATTGAAATTACAATACATCTGCTTGAACTTAGGTTAGGTAAGGTTTGTCAGGAAACAGGACAAGTGTTTCCCGACACAGGTCTTAGTCATATGATGACCCATAGCTGGAGCTTTTGGTCAGCTGACCAAGACCTTCCACTGTCTTACCAGTCCACCCCTTTAAAAATTATGGTTATGATTATATATACATGTATATGGGCTTGGAATGCATCTACAATACAAAGAGAGACCTGTAGTGGATTGTATCCATTTTCAATTACAAGTCTTTGGTTTTATTCTGTATTTCTACCAATAAAATTATGAACTTATTTGTGTTTTGTATTTCAGTTATAGCAGTTTACAGTGTTTCACCAATATTGCCAATCTGCCTCCTCTCTCTTGTCCCTTCTGCAAAAACTGTGCAGTTTGTTTCAAAAGGCAGAGTAACTCATTTAAAATGTTTATCCAGTAGTCACCAATATGTATTTACCTACATGTGGTTGCAGAAGTCAGTCTTAGCTCATGGCCCCCACCTCTCAATTTGCCACTTGCTCAATTCAGCTACTTGTAGCCTCATGGGTGCTACTGTACTTGCTCTCAGAACTATGCATGGAGCCTCCCTCCACTACTTTGTGAAGATCATTCCGCTTCCCAGTCACACTGAGACTGAAGAAATACTTCCCAACTTCCCAGTGGTTCATCTGTCTTTTACTCCCCACTGTGCCCCCAAGTACCCATATTTCACTCCTTAAATGGCCTATATCCCTATCTTTGTAATTATTGTTACAGTGGCAAAACTATGCTTGTGGTAGCCTTTATTCAGCAACTAGCATGTCATAAAAAAAATTTCCAGTAGCTGAAGCATGTACTATCTCTTCTTGGGAAACATTCCAACTGTCTACCATTTTATGAAATTATTCCAATTACAGATTATATCTATACCATTCAAGACTGCAGTTTTAGAAGGTAGAAAGCATCTATAAAATAAACAAATGGAGTAATTAATGCCAAAAACATTTTTCAAAAGCATGTCAATAAAACAGCATTACAAACTAACATTGACTAAGATAAACATTATAAAGAAACTTACCATGAAGGGTTGATGGTACACATATAGATTTCATCATGTTTTTCAAACTAACAATCATGACATGTAATAGATGGAATGAGTCTGTCATGCGGTAAGCCAAGTCTTGATCGGAGAACAGCTGCACCGAGACATGTACAACACGGTTGCTTAGAGTTTCAGAGTCGGTACTTTGCACTAACATGACCGAAATTCGACTGTAGTGTTGCACAAATGCTCTGGCAAAAGCATCCTGGAAGATAAAAAGAATGTATTGTAGGCTTTGGATAATGTAAAATGCCTAATATTAAAACAAAATATGAGGAAGTATCACAGAAGTATAATTTTCAAGATGAATGAACTAAATTCCAGAAACACAATAGAACACTGGAAGTTGAAACATCCTGAGTTAGGGACCTACTGTGTTCTACCATGTTAAACACTTTATGTACTTGCTTCTATATTCTTTCATTATAATACTTATTTTTATATATTGGTAGTCTCCCACCGAGGCAGGGTGACCTGAAAAAGAAACACTTTCACCATCATTCACACTATTACTACCCTGCCAGAAGTGCATAGGTATAAGAGGGTAGATGATCCTCCAAACAGCAAACATCCCAAACCCCTCCTTTAGAGTGCAGGCACTGTACTTCCCACCTCCAGGACTCAAGTTCAGCTAACTAGTTTCCTTGAGTTATAAATGGCTATGTTATGTATCCTTTCTTTCTTCTTTCAACAAACCAGCTGTACCCCACCGAAACAGGGTGGCCCAAAAAGAAAAACGAAAGTTTCTCTTATAAACTTTAGTAATGTATACAGGAGAAGAGGTCACTAGCCCCTTGCTCCCAGCATTTTAGTTGCCTCTTATGACACACATGGCTTATGGAGGAAGAATTCTGTTCCACTTCCCCATGGAGTTATGTATCCTCTACTTAGAAAGTATGTAACAGAAGTACATACAAGTGTTCACTTCCTGGATGAACCCCAATTCTAACATTTTTTTTTTTTTTTTTTTTTTTTTCAACAAGTCGGCCGTCTCCCACCGAGGCAGGGTGACCCAAAAAAGAAAGAAAATCCCCAAAAAGAAAATACTTTCATCATCATTCAACACTTTCACCACACTCGCACATTATCACTGTTTTTGCAGAGGTGCTCAGAATACAACAGTCTAGAAGCATAAACATATAAAGATACACAACATATCCCTCCAAACTGCCAATATCCCAAACCCCTCCTTTAAAGTGCAGGCATTGTACTTCCCATTTCCAAGACTCAAGTCCGACTATATGAAAATAACCGGTTTCCCTGAATCCCTTCACTAAATATTACCCTGCTCACACTCCAACAGATCGTCAGGTCCCAAGTACCATTCGTCTCCATTCACTCCTATCTAACACGCTCACGCACGCTTGCTGGAAGTCCAAGCCCTTACCCACAAAACCTCCTTTACCCCCTCTCTCCAACCCTTTCGAGGACAACCCCTACCCGCCTTCCTTCCCCTATAGATTTATATGCTTTCCATGTCATTCTACTGTGATCCATTCTCTCTAAATGACCAAACCACCTCAACAACCCCTCTTCTGCCCTCTGACTAATACTTTTATTAACTCCACACCTTCTCCTAATTTCCACACTCCGAATTTTCTGCATAATATTTACACCACACATTGCCCTTAAACAGGACATCTCCGCTGCCTCCAACCGTCTCCTCGCTGCTGCATTTACCACCCAAGCTTCACACCCATATAAGAGTGTTGGTACTACTATACTTTCATACATTCCCTTCTTTGCCTCCATAGATAACGTTTTTTGACTCCACATATACCTCAACGCACCACTCACCTTTTTTCCCTCATCAATTCTATGATTAACCTCATCCTTCATAAATCCATCCGCCGACACGTCAACTCCCAAGTATCTGAAAACATTCACTTCTTCCATACTCCTCCTCCCCAATTTGATATCCAATTTTTCTTTATCTAAATCATTTGACACCCTCATCACCTTACTCTTTTCTATGTTCACTTTCAACTTTCTACCTTTACACACATTCCCAAACTCATCCACTAACCTTTGCAATTTTTCTTTAGAATCTCCCATAAGCACAGTATCATCAGCAAAAAGTAACTGTGTCAATTCCCATTTTGAATTTGATTCCCCATAATTTAATCCCACCCCTCTCCCAAACACCCTAGCATTTACTTCCTTTACAACCCCATCTATAAATATATTAAACAACCATAGTGACATTACACATCCCTGTCTAAGACCTACTTTTACCGGGAAGTAGTCTCCCTCTCTTCTACACACCCTAACCTGAGCCTCACTATCCTCATAAAAACTCTTTACAGCATTTAATAACTTACCACCTATTCCATATACTTGCAACATCTGCCACATTGCTCCTCTATCCACTCTATCATATGCCTTTTCTAAATCCATAAATGCAATAAAAACTTCCCTATCTTTATCTAAATACTGTTCACATATATGCTTCAATGTAAACACCTGATCTACACATCCCCTACCCACTCTAAAACCTCCTTGCTCATCCGCAATCCTACATTCTGTCTTACCTCTAATTCTTTCAATTATAACCCTACCGTACACTTTTCCTGGTATACTCAGTAAGCTTATTCCTCTATAATTTTTACAGTCTCTTTTGTCCCCTTTCCCTTTATATAAAGGGACTATACATGCTCTCTGCCAATCCCTAGGTACCTTCCCCTCTTTCATACATTTATTAAACAAAAGTACCAACCACTCCAACACTATATCCCCCCCTGCTTTTAAACATTTCTGTCATGATCCCATCAGTTTCCAGCTGCTTTACCCCCTTTCATTTTACGTAATGCCTCACGTACCTCCCCCACACTTACATTCTGCTCTTCTTCACTCCTAAAAGATGTATACCTCCCTGACCAGTGCATGAAATTACTGCCTCTGTTTCTTCCTTAACATTTAAAAGTTCCTCAAAATATTCTCGCCATCTACCCAATACCTCCATCTCCCATCTACTAACTCCCCTACTCTGTTTTTAACTGACAAATCCATATTTTCCCTAGGCTTTCTTAACTTGTTTAACTCAATCCAAAATTTTTTCTATTTTCATTAAAATTTCTTGACAGTGCCTCTCCCACTCTATCATCTGCTCTCCTTTTGCACTCTCTCACCACTCTCTTTACCTTTCTTTTACTCTCCATATACTCTGCTCTTCTTATAACACTTCTGCTTTGTAAAAACCTCTCATAAGCTACCTTTTTCTCTTTTATCACACCCTTTACTTCATCATTCCACCAATCACTCCTCTTTCCTCCTGCCCCCACCCTCCTATAACCACAAACTTCTGCCCCACATTCTAATACTGCATTTTTAAAACTATTCCAACCCTCTTCAACCCCCCCACTACTCATCTTTGCACTAGCCCACCTTTCTGCCAATAGTCGCTTATATCTCACCCGAACTTCCTCCTCCCTTAGTTTATACACTTTCACCTCCCTCTTACTTGTTGTTGCCACCTTCCTCTTTTCCCATCTACCTCTTACTCTAACTGTAGCTACAACTAAATAATGATCCGATATATCAGTTCCCCCTCTATAAACATGTACATCCTGAGCCTACCCATCAACCTTTTATCCACCAATACATAATCTAATAAACTACTTTCATTACGTGCTACATCATACCTTGTATATTTATTTATCCTCTTTTTCATAAAATATGTATTACTTATTACCAAATTTCTTTCTACACATAGCTCAATTAAAGGTCCCCATTTACATTTACCCCTGGCACCCCAAATTTACCTACTACTCCCTCCATAACATTTTTTCCCACTTTAGCATTAAAATCCCCAACCACCATTACTCTCACACTTGATTCAAAACTCCCCACGCATTCACTCAACATTTCCCAAATCTCTCTCTCTCCTCTACACTTCTCTCTTCTTCAGGTGCATACACGCTTATTATAACCCACTTTTCACATCCAATCTTTATTTTACTCCACATAATCCTTGAATTAATACATTTATAGTCCCTCTTTTCCTGCCATAGCTTATCCTTCAACATTATTGCTACTCCTTCTTTAGCTCTAACTCTATTTGAAACCCCTGACCTAATCCCATTTATTCCTCTCCACTGAAACTCTCCCACCCCCTTCAGCTTTGTTTCACTTAAAGCCAGGACATCCAGCTTCTTCTCATTCATAACATCCACAATCATCTCTTTCTTATCATCTGCACAACATCCACGCACATTCAGACTTCCCACTTTGACAATTTTCTTCTTCTTATTCTTTTTAGTAATCTTTACAGGAAAAGGGGTTACTAGCCCATTGTTCCCGGCATTTTAGTTGACTTTTACAACACGCATGGCTTACGGAGGAAAGATTCTTATTCCACTTCCCCATGGATATAAAAGGAAAATTAATAAGACCAAGAACTATTAAGATAAAATCAAAGAAAACTCAGATGAGTGTGTATAAATAAATGTGTACATGTATGTGTAGTGTGACCTAAGTGTAAGTAGAAGTAGCAAGACATGCCTGTAATCTTGCATATTTATGAGACAGACAAAAGACATCAGCAATCCTACCATCATGTAAAACAATCACATATTGGTCATTTTTCAAATGCTGCAGTTAACTTAATTTTACCCATCTGTCACTCTGGCATAACTTGATAATGGTCCAAGACAGACTGAAAAGTCATCTAAAGTTTCCTTCCCAAAATGTGGGCACTTTGTGAATTGTTCCAACCATAGTCAGTACAGTATTGTAATTTTTATTCCTGTGTAATAAGTATTTTATAATAATTAAAAAATAATAATACACATACAACAGTCTTACCTCATATTCTGTGTCTGGGAGCATATTCAACAGCAAACAAACAAGTTTTTGTGGAAACTCGAATTTTACAGTCCAAAAAACTATTTCATCTAAAAAAGTCTTGTGTATAAGTGGGCCGTTTAGAGTCACAACATCTGAAACAGAATGTGTAGAAATCCAAATTAAAATTTTGGGTCTCATTTACTCTGGCTACTCAGACTGTAGTTTAAATATGAGTTACATAAACTTTTTAACAACATTAGTTGGTTGTGCAATTCAGACTTCAGTATTTTGGGCCTATGGAAAAAAAGTTTTCTTTTGCAATAAAAGAGTCAATTTAACCTAGAATCTGAGTTACATTCAAAGTTTAATTAGTTTGGGTTATATTTCCTTTTTTATCATTAAAACAGTTTTTCCCTATAGACCCAAATTGTAACTGTCTCCATTACACAACCTATTAATACTAAAGAATTTACATAAGAAAAAACTGAGCAGCTAAGCTAAATAATGACCAGGTTTAGATCTTCAACTTAAAACTAACTGCTGATGAGAGAAATGAGTTTGGAAGTGTGCAACAATTACAATAAATCATAGTGATGACTGGTTTTGAAAACCGACAAGTGAAGAACTGAGAAACTTATGCAACATATGGAAATTTCTATTGAAGAAATGTTTCGCCACACAGTGGCTTCATCAGTCCAGTACAAAGCAGGAAGGTATAAGGAGAGGAGGAGGGGTTTGAGGTAATCAGTCCCTCAGCCTGGAATCGATGTGTTCAGTCCATCACTCTTGTAGGAAGTACAGCATAGGGCCAGGGAGGTGGCTTATATACTGCAGTCAGGTGAGTCGAAGCAGGAGGAGGCGGGATCACATTCTTCAACACTTGTCCAACCTTTGGACGAAGACCTACTTACACTAGTGGAAGGTACCACTGTGATCCCACCTCCTCCTACTTCGACTCGCCTGACTGCAGTATATAAGCCACCTCCCTGGCCCTATGCTGTACTTCCTACAAGAGTGATGGACTGAACACATCGATTCCAGGCTGAGGGACTGATTACCTCAAACTCCTCCTCCTCTCCTTATACCTTCCTGCTTTGTACTTGACTGATGAAGCCACTGTGTGGCAAAACATTTTTTCAATAGAAATTCCCATATGTTGCATAAGTGTCTCAATTCTTCAACAATAAAGCATTACTTGAAGTACACTTACTGCGATAGCTTGGAGAAAAATCAGTTTGAAAGTACACAACACTTATAATAATCATCATTACTTGAAGTACACTTACCTTGATATCCTGGAGGCACTTCTCCAAAAGGAATACTGTTAAGGGCATCCTTATACAACTTTCTGCTTTGAGCTTGATATTCTTTATTTGAATGATTAGATGATGACCGAGTCAATTCGGAATAAACCTGAAACAATAATTAAGACATAATAATCAAACTAATTACCCAGGTGTACATAGACATTTATACTTCATACAAATGAAAAAAAGGTACGTGAGGCATTACGTAGAATGAAAGGGGGTAAAGCAGCTGGAACTGATGGGATCATGACAGAAATGTTAAAAGCAGGGGGGGATATAGTGTTGGAGTGGTTGGTACTTTTGTTTAATAAGTGTATGAAAGAGGGGAAGGTACCTAGGGATTGGCGGAGAGCATGTATAGACCCTTTATATAAAGGAAAAGGGGACAAAAGAGACTGTAAAAATTATAGAGGAATAAGTTTACTGAGTATACCAGGAAAAGTGTACGGTAGGGTTATAATTGAAAGAATTAGAGGTAAGACAGAATGTAGGATTGCGGATGAGCAAGGAGGTTTCAGAGTGGGTAGGGGATGTGTAGATCAAGTGTTTACATTGAAGCATATATGTGAACAGTATTTAGATAAAGGTAGGGAAGTTTTTATTGCATTTATGGATTTAGAAAAGGCATATGATAGAGTGGATAGAGGAGCAATGTGGCAGATGTTGCAAGTACAGTGGACCCCCGACTAAAGATATTATTTCAATCCAGAAGTCTGTTCCCATAAGGAATATTGTGAATTAGATTAGTCCGTTTCAGACCCCCAAAAATACACGTACAAAAGCACTTACAAAAATACACTTACATAATTGGTCGAGTTGGGAGCTGATCGTTAGTCGGGGGTCCACTGTATATGGAATAGGTGGTAAGTTATTAAATGCTGTAAAGAGTTTTTATGAGGATAGTGAGGCTCAGGTTAGGGTGTGTAGAAGAGAGGGAGACTACTTCCCGGTAAAAATAGGTCTTAGACAGGGATGTGTAATGTCACCATGGTGGTTTAATATATTTATAGATGGGGTTGTAAAGGAAGTAAATGCTAGGGTGTTCGGTAGAGAGGTGGGATTAAATTTTGGGGAATCAAATTCAAAATGGGAATTGACACAGTTACTTTTTGTTGATGATACTGTGCTCATGGGAGATTCTTAAGAAAAATTGCAAAGGTTAGTGGATGAGTTTGGGAATGTGTGTAAAGGTAGAAAGTTGAAAGTGAACATAGAAAAGAGTAAGGTGATGAGGGTATCAAATGATTTAGATAAAGAAAAAATGGATATCAAATTGGGGAAGAGGAGTATGGAAGAAGTGAATGTTTTCAGATACTACTTGGGAGTTGACGTGTCGGCGGATGGATTTATGAAGGATGAGGTTAATCATAGAATTGATGAGGAAAAAAGGTGAGTGGGTGCGTTGAGGTATATGTGGAGTCAAAAAACGTTATCTATGGAGGCAAAGAAGGGAATGTATGAAAGTATAGTAGTACCAACACTCTTATATGGGTGTGAAGCTTGGGTGGTAAATGCAGCAGCGAGGAGACGGTTGGAGGCAGTGGAGATGTCCTGTCTAAGGGCAATGTGTGGTGTAAATATTATGCAGAAAATTCGGAGTGTGGAAATTAGGAAAAGGTGTGGAGTTAATAAAAGTATTAGTCAGAGGGCAGAAGAGGGGTTGTTGAGGTGGTTTGGTCATTTAGAGAGAATGGATCAAAGCAGAATGACATGGAAAGCATATAAATCTATAGGGGAAGGAAGGTGGGGTAGGGGTCGTCCTCGAAAGGGTTGGAGAGAGGGGGTAAAGGAGGTTTTGTGGGCAAGGGGCTTGGAATCCAACAAGCGTGCGTGAGCGTGTTAGATAGGAGTGAGTGGAGACGAATGGTACTTGGGACCTGACGATCTGTTGGAGTGTGAGCAGGGTAATATTTAGTGAAGGGATTCAGGGAAACCGGTTTTTTCATATAGTCGGATGTGAGTCCTGGAAATGGGAAGTACAATGCCTGCACTTTAAAGGAAGGGTTTGGGATATTGGCAGTTTGGAGGGATATGTTGTTTATCTTTATATGTGTATGCTTCTAAACTGTTGTATTCTGAGCACCTCTGCAAAAACAGTGATAATGTTTGAGTGTGGTGAAAGTGTTGAATGATGAAAGTATTTTCTCTTTGGGGATTTTCTTTCTTTTTTGGGTCACCCTGCCTCGGTGGGAGACGGCCGACTTTTTGAAAAAAAAAAAAAATGAAAAATGAAATGAAAAATAAAAGTGAAAATCAAGACAATGTATAAAACATTCTCCAGTTATTAAATCACCACCTTGTCCTCCATCAGATATTCAAAACATGGAGCATGCAAATTACAGATTCTTTCTTGCATTATGAATGAGATCTTGTTGGGTTACATTCATGAAAACAGCTGTGATAACTTAAATTTCCTCTACTTTTTTCCACATGAAGTTCACTACAGGTTGCATTTTCAAAAACCAACCTCTTCTATTATAAATATTCAGTAGAGTGCATAAAAGCTGAAAACATGAAACATGCTGCTGATGATGCGAATTAAAACATCACATAAGGCAAGAACATAGGCAAAAACAGTGATAATGTGTGAGTGTGGTGAAAGTGTTGAATGATGATGAAAGTATTTTCTTTTTGGGGATTTTCTTTCTTTTTTGGGTCACCCTGCCTCGGAGGGAGACAGCAGACTTGTTGAAAAAAAAAAAATAAGGCAAGAGCTTATCTTGTACATGTTTCACTCATGACACTATCAGGCCAATAAAATAATGATGTTACGGTCCAACTTGGACCATTAACTAATCACACACAGTGTGTGACTAGTGTGTGTGACATCATCATAAGCTTCTTTCTCCTATGTGCAGGTTATTTGTGTGTTGATCCAGTTATGGCACTGTGCCTTCTTGTTCTTTCTAGAGCATCTATAAAAACTCCAACTTTTGTATGCCTTCCATAGATTTCATTAGACTAGTCCCATTCAAAATGTTTATAGTAAATGGCTTATTTTAGTGTTATTTACTTATTCACATCAACTAAGACAACAACACCTGAGAAAAACAGGAAAACTCACTTTTGGATTGCACAACGATTTTGTCATTGTTTTTCTCATAGCAGCTCCCAGACGACTGAGGTCCTGCAGAAGATCTAAAAACAATGATGACTCCTCCATTGCCACTAAAACCTGGTCTAGTGTTCCCAAACTGGAAAAAGTAATTGCACATTCACAAAAATGGTTAAGAATACTCCGCTATTCTTTGTAATATTATTATGTTATCTTACAATGATATGGATACTTTACTATTATTAAAAATCAAGGAGCACAAGAATATTGTAGCTCTAAGATACATAATGACTAAACTCTATACTGTATAATATTATCAGGAGATACAAAAGAATTGGAAAGGATAATTTTGTAATACAAGAGAGGAAGAAAGGAGGCCATAACTATTAACTAATGAAGAAAAGGAAGCGCCAAAGAAAGAAGAATGGAATTAGTTACAAGAGGAGGTAGTACATATGTGCTACAACCACTGGAACTTCAAAAATTTATGTGATGAATTAAATACCAAAGATGGGACACCACAAGCTTAGGAGCATCTGCTCCTGCAGCTATAACAACCAATTACAAACAGGGAAATAACGTACATATTTACATGCAAAAGAGAATATGAAAAAAAAACATAGGAGCAAGACAAATTAATCTCCAATTCAAGTACAGTATTGTACGTATTTTATATTAAAGAAAAGAACATGAAAAACAAAATACAAAGAAGTAAGGTCAGCAACAAGGTCACTGAATCAGAGAAGGAAATGTGTGATAAAAGTCAGACAAAGGACATTAATAGAAAAAACAAGGAGAGATGAAATGCTAAGCATCGAGCAGTTTAATTTTAGGTCAGCAATTTGCTGTACTTTATATCAAATCTACTAAGTTACTGTACTAAGAAAGCCAATGAGAAAAAAACAGAAGACACAGATGGATATACTGCATGAGTTTTAAAATATCTTTTGACAGAGTGCTTCATAAGAGACTAAATTGGAAACTACTTTACAAATTTTAAGTGGAATAAAATTCAAACTACAAAAATGAATAGGAATTTAATGCATAAAAGAAAAATGAGTATAGTGATAAAAGGACAAATTTCCTCACATATGAAAGCCACAACAAACAAATATTTTCCTTTACCTGTGTTCTCGACAATGCTGTATAAAGCGTAGAAAAATTCTAGGCATAAGCGCATCAGCAATTGCTAATAAATCTGGTGGTACTTCTGGCTTGTTTAATTGTGCTTGCGACCCATGTCGATGACAAAACCTGCACCAA